TATTTTTAAACTTGGCTGTTGGGGACTGTCCTCAGGCAAGGTCTTTCTACTACATGGCTCCTATGGCTGTGTAGGGGGGAGAAATTATCTTTCAACTGCCAATTCAGTGTGTTTTAGCAAGATGGTCATTCACTCTTTTTATTAGATGGCTTATTAATAAATATATTAGTTGTACATTAAGAAAATACCTCTTCTATTCATATTCTAGAGTTATCTAGGATCTAGAGCAAACATAAACACAAAACTGCCATTCAGCTCTTTCATTGCCTGAGCAATGAAGAAGTGCTTTAATATATAAATGAGCTTGATAGACATAGCACTTCTGGAAAGGCAGAAAATATCAAGTTTATCTTTGTGTAATCAGAATGTTGATTTAAATAAATAAGAATAAGGTCACCATTTTATGTTGCCCATGTAATGTTATTTTTATTTTTTTAATCCATGCAGCTGGACAGCTAAACCAGAGAGGATATGGTTGGCTTGCTTCATGTAACAAATTGATGAGAACACTTGTGATTTTTGGTTTGAATATTAAAATGTTAAACCACATTTAGGAGAGGGAGCTATCCAGGTATTCGTATTGGCTGGATTAAGGAGCTGGAATGAGAGAAATTACTGCATTGCATCTCTTTCACTGCAGAAAGCAAGTAGTGGCTTTATTTGGGTTTAAGTTCCCCTTAATTTGGTCATGGTAGAAGATGGTGGTGGTTATTGTTGGTAGATTGAGCAATGGCATCTAACATAAACAGCATAAATTATTTTCCAAACTTTGTCATTTAAAGTATTAATTAGAATGCCAGCCTTTCAGTTTGCTTTGTTTCTGACTTGGCGGTGAGAAAGCACTTTTAAAAAGGCAAAAATTCAGTTAACTGTTAGACTTACAAATATGAATAAGTTAATGTTTAAAAAACTGTTTTTTCAAAGGTATATTTAAGCTCTGATGTGAGGTAAACTGTCATATCTGCATGACATGGCTGAAATGGCTTCTTGTCTGTCAGTTTGGGTATTCAGCTGTCTGTTGCGTGCCTCTTTGAATTGTGAACAATTTTTTAAGTGCTTGGAACTCTTAATGGAAATTGCAATCTCTTTTAAGAAGGGAACCTCAATAAGAACAAATGGTAATGTGATACAGTGTCACTGAAGATTGATACTGCTTTTGGTGAAAGCAGCAAGATGTCTAAATCAAACACAAAAAAATCAGCCTAATATCGATGCGATACTAGAAGGAAAGTTTCTCTGTTAAAACATTTGGGTTTTTTAGTTCTCAGACTTGCTTTTTAAATGTTGTACTTAATAGCAATTTCAAATTATTTTAGTAAGGAACCTTAATCTTCAATTTTGGTATCTGTGTATTTTTCCAATGTTAATATACCCACTTAGTATCCCCAATTATTTTGATATGTGAATTCTGGTGCAAAGTTATAACAGTCTTTGTTTTGTAAGTATTGGGTATTGATTCTGTCTTAAAGTAATAATTTAAGACTCACTAGTGAAGCAAGTAATAGTCTGATTTAGTTAAGGCAGTTCAGGTTGATTTAAGAGGACAGATTCTAGAGTGCTGGGAAGAAAGACACCGTTTATTTTGAAGCATTTTCTCTTCTATGTGAACAATGAATCAGTTTCCTGGCTCATTTTTATTGTACTGTTAATGTAATTTTTTTTTTAGTGAGGAGGGTTTGTAGTGAAATGTTAACCATTTAAATGCCCGGGTCTTTTGTAAGGGTGTTTTAATATACCCTATATTCAGATTTCATTGAAGTGTCCATTCTTTTGGTTTCACTTTGTGTACCCCAACCAATTTTCTAATTCATTTCCTTCATTGGGAAGCATAGCAATACATTCAATCAGCCACATATTTACCTAAATAATACATTTCTGAGAAAGCTTGGTATACTTTAGCAGATAAATATGAGTCTACAGATTGAGTTCTGTGGCTGGTGTTTCAGGACTGGTTTCTTCACCCTGGAAATCAAAAGGAAGGGTTATCTCTTGCTGTAATGTGTGGCTGCTATATGGTCAGGATTGGATGAGGTGAGAGATGTCTCTTGAGTGTTTTCTGCAGGTGAGAAAGTGGAAATCCTTAGTGCTTGTGCCTCCATAGCCATGGATACATGGTTAGATGATTTACAGAACTGGGATAGGTTTGCTCTTTCCTAGTGAATAGGAAGTTTAGAAATAACCCCATATACCAGGCAAGTTTGCCCTACGTAGTGGTAGGGACTTTCTGTGCAGTATTTAGGTAAGTGCTAACCTCATAGGCAAGCCCTTTTCTTAGGCATTTTCAATTTATCATCTTAAACTTTTAAGATATAGAAATTATATAAACTCATGCCTCAATTCCTTTTAGAATAAGTTTTCTCTGAACACATCTTGATTATTATCTTCAAGTCCATTTTAACTCTAGAAACTAGCTAGCCAGATTTTCCCTTGCTCCTTCTTAAATATCATGCTTTTGGAGAAAAACCTTGTTCTCCCTACTTGTCAGATGTCTGTCTTTATCCTAGTAAAAACATGCCTTGCCTATTTGTTTCTTCAAAGGAGCCTTACATGCATATATCTCAAATAAGAGGGCATACTATTAAAATGTCAAGATGAAGCCATATTGCTTACCCTGGTGTGATGTAACATAACGCAGAATGACGTCTGTGACCTGTTTAGAAGTTTCTAAAGCTCTTATACGTGTAATGTAAAGGTCCAGCTGTACCCTTCACTTATAGCAAACTACCGTCGAGCATGTTGTGGTTTGGCAAGGTGGTACTCCTGCAACTGTTCAAGGGTCCTAGTCCTTTCCCAGATAACCTGCTCAGGTGAGGAAAAGGTGGGAAATAGCACAAAAAAATCATGAGCATTGTCTGTGCATGAGTGCAAAATCCTCCAAAAGCAAAGTTTTATTAACCACCATTGAAATAGTTTGTTGTCTGGGTGCACTTTCACAAATTTGTCTGCTTACCTTGCCAGGAATTACTTGTTTCTGTCAGTACTTTTTGTGGTGAGATAAAACTACCTCTCTTGAAAAAAGGCTTCATGTGGAGATTTCTGCATTTCTGACCTTGATGATCTAAAAAAATCATGCTGAAAGAGCCTTTAATTTTAGGAAAAGAAATCATTTTTATTCCTTCAAGAACAAGTAACTTTTTTGTAGGCCTCTTACAATAAAAGAATAACAGTTTCAGTTGGCAAGGTTGCTTTCAGTTTGAAAGGCATCTTTTTGGTTTTGGTAAGAATTGATTATGTATTATTACTGTAGCTGCTACAGGTGCTAGGGAATAGAGAAGTTATATTGAAGGTAAAGAATATATTGACATACTGAATTCCTGAATTTCCATTCTTACTAACTGCTGCTGATTAAAACAAACTTTGAGGGGTATGTCTGGCTGATATCCTTTGATTTCTTCTAAACTTCTAAGATACAGTATAATTTGTGCTGTTGAGACAGATGGTGCAGCTGGTCAGTTGATTGTTAAACCACATTTAAAAATGGCAGTTTGGGGATTCATTTTTAAGCTGGCATTTAAATAGCTTATGGCTATTAATGAATGGTAGGTACAAACCATATGCCTAATCCCACATGCAAGTGTTGGTCTTGCTGGTTACAGAACCAAGAATGTCTTGCTTATTTAAAAGTTTGTACAGGATTTACAAAGATGTTGAGGCATGCACACTTGTGAGTGTGTATTGTCTTGTTTGCAGTTGAATATGTGGATTCAGTGAAATCGGTCTGATTTAATCTCACTTTAGCCCAAGACTAGAAAAATCTGATACAGCTTTAAAACATCATTGTTTGGAAGAAGGAGCAGCTGACTAAAGCAGAGCCCAGGAAAAAAAGTTTGTAAAGGAAATGCATGAAGGGCTTGTTACTTCTATGTGTTGTACTGCAGAGTACCAGATTATTGGAACTGATATTTATCATTTTTTATAATCATGTTTGATTGCCAGAATTCCTATCTAAAAGTAGATCTGTTGGTCAAGAAGTGCTGCAAAGTGTAGATGTGGTTGTCTTTGGCAAAACACATTGCTTCTCATCTTATTAGATCAGGTGCATCTCTTTGCACCTGTGTTCTTTCAACTAGAGCATCCTAGTTAAAATTTTTCTGCACGATTGATTTTTAGAAGCCATTCTGATCTCCAGCACTGGCATTCTGTGGCAATTGCAATGTGTGAGAGTCACAAACCTGTCAGTGTGTACTGCAGAGTGTCTAAATGGGGGAACCGCCATTTTCAAGGAAATGGGAATAAAGCTGCGCAGCTCATGCCTGAGGAAACTGAACAAGGTCATTGGATTCATTGTTAAAAAGGTATTAGTGATACCGAACTCAGATGGCACTGGAGTTTCTGAGCTACCTGTATACACCTTGAAAGAGGTGGTCTGTTTCTTTTGGATACATAGGCAGACAGCAATCCTAAATTGTATGCTTAAAATAAAGCTCTGAATATGTTTCAAAATGAAAAATTTGGTCTCTGGCTCTGAGTTCCCCTTGACCCTTTTCTAACAGACATGTACTTACTGGTTTTGACTTGCTGGAAGTGAGATAGCTGTATTTAATTTTAACTGTTGCTGTGCAGCTGAACAATTACTTAGCATAATTATTCAAATATGTTTCAAGTATTGATAGAAACATTGTAGGGATCTTTCAGTGGAATTGTGTAACGTCTAGACTAACATTCAGTTGGAAGAGAAACTATCCTTGAGCAACTGAAGTTAATTCCTTGTATTCTTGGATAGCTTCTTACGTAGTGTTTCTGAGTACAAGCTCTGACTTGCATACATAACTGCAGGATTATGCTCCTGAGAAACTTTCCATAATTTCTTAATTTTATTAAATGTGAAGTTTGGAGCCCTTTGTTCTCTGGTTTTGCAGGATGACTCTCTGAAACTAACTACAAAATTAAGTCAAATAATATAAGGAAACAAAACAAGTACAATTCTTGAGCAGCACAGCAACTTAACAGAATGCATGGTTAATTTTATCTAAATTTATGATTTATTTTTTTAATTTCAGGGTCAGATAACATTAATGGATGTTCCTGTATTTAAAGCAATTCAACCAGAGGTAAGTAATTAATTGATTTTGTTTTCAAATATAAATGAAATAATTGTGCCTGTGTATAAATTCTGGAATTGCAAAGTGTATGTCAAAAAAATCTTCATTTTAAGTTTCAGCTCTTTATACCTCATGCTGTACCTCATCCTGTCCCTTGTCCTGTGTTTCCTCAACAAACTGGTTCATATCTTTTTTGGAAAAAGAAAAATGGCTATAATAGCATCTTGAATACAAGATGGGTGTGATCTGTGGATATATTGGGATAATATATGGATCATTTGTGTTCTCTGTTTTGTTTTTATAATTGCCATATTCCTTTCTAATTGCAGCCTAACTTGTACTGATGTTTTCAGAATCTTCAGTGACTAATAATAAATGATGAGTTTGTTTATCCTTATTTCTCTGATTAGTGTTTTCCTGTGAGCATTGCTCTGCACTCTTGGAGGTTTATTTTTCAGTTAACTGTGTAGTTTATTAGTAGTGTGGAAGTATTTTTCAGCTCATCAGTCACCTTTAGATTGTCATAAGCCATTCTATTGGTAGCAGGCTCTTGTCATGTTACTCTTGTGGCCTGGTGAAGAATATTTTGCTTCAAGTGGCAAAACGTGCAGAATCTCTTGTTTTGACTGATTTCATCATTTATGTACCCACAGATTTTTTTTTTTTAAAGTCTTCCTTTTGATCTGTACTTGAAAACATTGTCATGATTTAGCTTTCATGATTTCAGCAAGCTATTTCCCAACCCACATGGATTTCTGTGGGGTTTTGTGGTTGTTTTTTTTGCTGATTGGTGGTTGTTTTAATTGTTTTTTTTAAAAAAAACAAACCAAAACAAAACAACAAAAAACCCCACAACTCTTCAAAGAGCCTCCCATTTGACCTTTCTGGCTTTTTTTTTTTTCTGGTCAGTCTTTTTGATTGGCAGAATGTTTAGCCTAATCTAAAAGGATATATTTTTTTTTAAGCTCTTTTATAGAACTTTAAAGTATTTTATTCTTCTGATTCTTTTAAATGTTTTCCTCGTATATGTGTTTGTGTACTTCTTTTCTAATACCAAGCCTTAGTGCTATGTAGGGTTCCCCTTGCCCCCGAGTGTTGAATAAGCTCTGGGTGCTTTTACACAGTTGCCTCACCTCTAGTTACACTGAGCTTCAAAGGAGTGGATATCAAAAACTCAGAACACCAGTTTAACTAGTTAGGACTTTTCCTAATGATCTGCTTATAAAGAAATTTTACTGCTTGAGCTTGATGGTAGTTTATTCTTTGCATCTGCTTCTAGCACTACAGGGATTGAGCAAGTCAGCTGTGTAACAACCACAAGGAAGCAAGCAAGCAAGTTTGATACAGTGGCAGTGATTTAATACTCCATATCTCACAACTTGTTGCTCTATTAATGCTACCTCCCCTATCGCAGACTATGTTGTGTGAACAGACCTACAGAAGGTCTCTGGGAGATGAGAAGAAATGTCAAGAAAGCGCATTTAACTTTGTTGGCTGGTCTAACTCATTATTGTAAACCAGGAAGAGGAAAAGCAGAGTAATGAAACTTACCTAAAAGAAAAACTGAGAGTCTAGGTGAATATATCTGGGAAGTAATTCCTTTTAAGAAATCTATCTACTGCATAAGAGAAGTTCACGTGATGCCTTCATATGAGGAGGGGTAACTGTTTTCACACTACTTGTTTTTGCACAAAAGCAGTTGAAGGCACTGACAGTGTGCAGGTATTATCTGTCCATTAGTGCTCCTTCACAGGTAGACAGAGGTCTGTGGTTTTGCATCTGATATGCCTCTAAATTGTGTTGATCCCTAATGGAAAAGGGGCACACAGATTAACAGGTCAGAAGAAGCTAGATCCAATTAAAATGCTTTCCTCCTGTTTTGCGGAAGGGAAAGACAGACATGGAACATTTAGCTTGCCTAAAGGTGTCTTGACAGCAGATTAATGAAGTCGCGTAGATTTCTGAGTTTCTTTGCAGTATCTACCATATCTATATCTTATTGAACTTGTAAATCTTTACACATACCTTGATGTGTGCAATCAAAACATCGTTGAATTTGTAATTAGAAAACAAAGCAGTGTTGACCTCATTTCACCTTTATAAAAGGGCTTCTAATGGAGGCTTTCGTGTGTGACTAAGAGGTGTTGATAGAGTTTGGGGTTTTTTATATCAGTGCTAGTAAGTACTCTGTTTAGAATCAAATTTCACAGCTCTCGTCCACATGCATTGTGAAAGATGATGAATAACTTTCCCACTGCAGAGAACTTTAAAAACGGGGTGTTTATTATAGATAGTTGTAATTTACCAACAAATCTTCATTATACAGGCTGTGAATTTCAGTCTGCTTTCCAAACTTTGTAGAACAAAATATGAATGTTTTTAGCATTTAATGTGTTTTCATCTGTTTTTGCAAATATGGGTTCTGAAAGATTTATTCCAGGATGCTTAATTTTTCAGAGAACTGGAGATGAATTGCCATCATCTTTAGGAAGCATGAAATGTATTCCTGAAATAACTTTTCTTGACTGTCTTAAGTTAACTGTGTTGCATCTTCATTGTCTTAAAGTATTGTAGGTTTGTTTTTTTAAAAAAGCAGCATCAGAATTTCATCGTTTATCTTAAACTAGAGCTGAGTAACACTTTTTACGGCAATATATAGCATCCTTTAGCATCATAATCAATGAACATACAGCACAAGAATAGAACATATTTTTTGCAGCCTTTTCCCTCTATTTGTAGCAAATAAATATAATTGTTTCTGCCTATATTCAAATTTGCTGCAGTTGCCATGAGTTCACACCTGTGGTAGGGTGCCTACATATCACCCTCTACAACTTCCTGTTTTGTGCTCAGGAAAAATCAGACAGGGAGTTTAGTGTAGCCCACACAACTCAGGGTTAAGGTACAGTGGATCACCTTACATGTATGGTGAGCCAGAGGTGTGGACTTGAACAGCTATGATGGCTTAGACAGTATATAGTGACATGCTTCTCTGCCTGAGCTTTGAGCAGACTGTATCACTCCAAATGATACTGGAAACCACCTTTCTTCGTTGAAAATGCTTGCATGTTATTTCTGAGAAAAGAAAGTAGAAGGAATTACTGTTTCTTTGTTAAATAATCTTTGGGGGTGCAGTATAAGAAATGAATGTAATAAAGAACACACCTCTACTACATAAACTTCTGTCTGTAAGGAAGCAGCCAATTTGCATTTTGATTTTTGGGAAACAAAAAAAGGTGGAGTTCCCCAAGTCAAATCATATGGTTTTCATCTATTCCTCATGAATGACACAGTGTGATGTTTTTGTTTTCTTTTTCTTGTAGTGGTTGTGGCTTTCTAGAAAGCAGTGACTATAAAGCAAAAAAGTAGTTGTAGAGTTGCTCAGTTGTGTTGCAGGTAGCTAAGTTAACTGACTGCCAGATGTCCCCTTGCAGAACATGTTAGCTCACTTCTATTGAAAAATCTGGTTACTTGTTTTATATATTTTAATATATTCTCTAAAATCATTTGCTGATACATACACTGAAAATAAATCTTTGCTGTGTTATTACCTTTAACTTCTTTATCCCTTCTGCTTCATCAGGCTAGACAGTGGGGAAAAAAAAAATTATTAAATATTCATTTGTACCTGTTCTGAAGCTGTATAATGGTTCCACTATTAATCCTTGCTTTTTCTCTCCTCCTGTTTTTGAAACTTCCGCTTTGACCTCTATATAAAGATTTTAATAAGCACAGTCTCTCCTTCTGCCATGTAGTACAGGCATAACTTAAGTGTTCTTGGACTATTTTGTAATTTAAGTGTTCTTGTAGAACTTTGTTAATGAAAATACAATTCTGTAGATTCAAAAAGGAATGAAAACCAAAATGAGTTATGAAGAAAGTTTAACTTTTGTATTCTTGATCCTAAATCTTTCAGTGCACCTCATTTTAAATAAATTGCACAAAATAAGAAATTGATAGTTGTAGTGATGTAGCTCCCGTGCTTGTGTTGACTGGTAGACTAAGGAAATAATCCTTGTAAGTACTTCAGGTTTTAAACTTGTGGTGGGAAAAGTGCAATTCTAGAGGAAGATCAAAGAAACATGCCTCAATTAGAGTAAAGGAATAGGCAGCACAGTCTTTAATTAGCAAAGAATTCAGTATTTTTATAGAAGTTTAAGAATGCTTTCTGAATTCCAATTTGGCAAATTAATGTGCCTTACTGCAGTAGTGTGTGTGGAGTCCGTGCTCGTTAGGACTGTATCATACTTCTGCCAGACCAGATGCAGTGAAGGCAAAAATGTTGGGGGCTTCCCTTCTGTTGATGGCATCTTAGGGTGGTGGGATGAGCAGAGTCAAGAGCAGTGATTTTAGGCAAGCAAGTTGTAGCAAGGGGGAGGAGGGTTGTGAACAACAGTTTCCCCTGAAGCAGTCTGATCAGGTAATAACGCTGAGAAACTGTGGACAGGCAGCAAAGGGAAAACACTTTTAGCTTATAGTCAAGAGAAAAAAAAGCTGGCTGTAAAGGGGAGAGAGGTCTTAGAAGTGAGCTGGAGAAACTGTGTGCAGGAGGTAGAAGAAAAGGTTCAAGTAATAAAATATACATATGCATTTATTATGTCCACCTTCTTTATATTTCTTACACTCAAGGGAGGGGGAAAAGGCTTTCTGAACTCTCAAAAGTCTGTGCCTGTCCCTGAACAGCAGTGTAGATGTTGGCTTAAGCTGTTGGAGGATCTGAACTGGTGGCACAGGTCCTGAGGGCCTGTGTAACTCTGCCTTGGCACCTATGTTAAAGAATTTTGATGTTTACCTTTCCATTCAGGAACAGGATCCAGTGTGACACACTTTCACTGAAGAACATGGATATAGAGCTTCTTAAATTTCTTGCCACTAGCAGTTATCAGGACTGCTTTGTCTGTTACTTCTGCTTCTGTGCTGAGCTTCAAGTATATATAGGAGAGGATGTGCCTTTGGCCCTGCTGGTTTAGTTGGGACCCCATATACTCTGGAACTATCTCAGTCCCATACCTATCTTCTTTCTACTGCACCCATGTATTTTCAGGTTATTTTAACCCTAAATCTGTTACGACGTAGTTTTCTACTCTTGTCTCCAGGTGACAACTTCTGCTTTACCTCCTGTAGTCATCTTTTTTCTCCCTCAAATCTAGGCATCTAAATCTGCCTGTAACTCTCCCATCTCATTGTATTCTTCAACCCTGTGCCTCTGTGTCCTACTGTACACTCCATAAATGACTATTTCAGCTTGTGATCTTACTACAGAGTTCAAAGGTTTTGGAGGGGGAAGAGAAAGGAGAGTTAGTAGAAGAGTGGTTGAAGCAAGTGTTCCATGCAGGTGGGGCTGGGAGCTGCTGTGCCTTTGAAGTGTTCATGTAGACCGGTAACACATGTAACACTGTTTAGGAGTCAGAGGGTTTGAGGAAGAAGTTATGATCTTGAACTACCCTTTGAGTGCATGATGACAGAACACTGCATTTATACATTTCACCTGTTTAGCTTTAATGGTGGGGAAAAATGCTAAAAACTGCAGTAATGTTGAAGAATAATTTTGTCTTTTGGGGTTTTTTTTGTTTTTTTTTTTTTTACTTGGAAAACTTCTAGTTTGTCAGCCTTGGTGGGTTATTCTGTATTCTTGACTGAACTAGAATTTCAGAGTTTTAAACAGTATTTTATGTGGTCAATAATGTACAATGAAGCCTCTACCTTTTTGTAAGACTGCATGAAAACCAATTTTATTCCAAGGTGAGGATGATAATGTACAAACTTATAGCCAGCTTCAGGCCCAGGAATACAGAAACAGTCTTAGTCAGGAGAATCTGCTAGAAATATGTTCCAGGAGCTGCTTCTGTTGCCTTATTGTTACTGACTTCATCTTACCAAAACATTTGTTCTCTACCAGTCATTGCCTTCCCTTTCCATTCAGTTAGGGAAAATCTCAACAAGATTTTTCTGGAGCAGAGACTTGTTTAAGTCTTTTGTCAAAACGGGGAAACGTCTTCTTTCAAAAAATAAAGATGAGATATGTATGTAAATATGGTTCATGGTCTGAGAGTCAGATCTTGCATCTGATATTAGCCCACTAATTTCTAGTATTTGACTATAAATTGACCTTAACATTAATACTGCTACTTATGTACTATCTAAAGATTCTTTGTAATGTTTTTCTACTTAAAAACTACCATTTCGGTTGCTTGGTGCCAGCTAAGCCAGGTCTGCTTCTGATGTCTGTACCATGTTAGCCCTTAGATGTAAGTGCCAGGACAATGGGTAACTTCTGCTTGTAATCATCACTGTTTTTTTTTAACCTGGTGATGAGAACTGAAATAGTCCAAGGACGTGTCCTGAATTATTAAGAAATTACCATGCTTTCTCTAAATCTGAGATAGCAACTAATTTTTGGTTTTTTTTTTTTTGTTAAGGAAGTGCAATTATCAGATGCCAGTAAAGATGAATCACCTTGCATTCTCCCAAGTGCAGAGCTGTGATTGTTACTCCAATGGAGTCTGCAGCGCTGAGAGTTGCTGAGGGGTGGAGAATGCAAGAGCCTCTTGGATGGCTTCCTTCTCCAGTGGCCTGCTCTCCTTTGTGACGGGAGCAGCTCAGGGCTATGTGGTTGTCTTGTGCATAGTCACTGAAGTGCAGATTCAAGGAGATGGGCGCGTGCATTCCTATACTTAGCATGTTGGCATTTTCCAGGATAGGTTTTGGTAGCAGAACTTCTAGCAAAATTTGAAGGAATGGCCCTAAATATAAAGCTGGAGACTCCACATTCTTCCCAGTGCCTGTGGACAGGAGCGTCTTGGAGTCTTTTATAACAAATACCAGCACGTCACAAACTTCAAGTGGAAGAATTCAAGGCCTCTCTTAAGTGGCATGAGATTCTTGAGTAATTTTGGGATGTTGGTTGAAAAGATGTTAGGAAGTTCCTCTTTAAAAGAAAAACCAAAACACCACCCCCCCCCCAAAAACTCTAGAGCTTAGAATATCCAGATACAAAAATCTTTTAAAACTATGACTGTCTTAAATGGCACAATTATTGGTTACCATCTTACCTGTGTTATATGGTAGCTGGACATATAGTGTGATACTGGTTTCTGTAAGTAGTTTTCAATATGGTGATAAAACAGAGTGCTTCAGAGTGGATGGTGTGAGAAGAGAGCATGAATAAATAAAAACAAAAGGCTGTACTTTGCTATTATGCCACTTTAATAATTAAGTTCTCTCTGTATTATTTTTCTTGGTAGCACTGTGGAATAGGTTGTGTGCTGTATGCTGTAAATATTTACATCTGTTCTGTAGGCTATTGTATATGAATAGAAGAGCTCATTAGTACATTTAGTTTTTCATTATTTTAATTAAACTATTGAAATTAAGTGTTAGTAAATACCAAGGAAGTTGATGTAGTTGCCCAGTGGCTAAGTTTTGCAGCGAAGTGAGAGGCACTGTAACTTTGTAGTTAAAGTAATGCTTTTTCAGGCTTTACAAGTAATTTGTTAGGTCTTGAGGCCTACAGTTTTTAGGGTGACTTAAGTACAGGAACTACTTGATTATATTTTATTTTTTAAGCAAGTTCCCTTGTTCTCTTTTACTCCACAAAACTATTTGCTTAAGTGCTGAGTGTTGATCAACTTAAAACAAAATTGGTTCCTTTGAAAGGGAAAACTGGAAATAGTGTTTCTTTTATTGTTGCTGCAGAAGATCACAATTTTAGTATTTCTTTAATGAAATGTGCCAAGTTAAAATAATGAAACATGTCAAGGTTGAGTTAACAGGGTGTATCTTCTCTTTGGACTTTATCTTTAGAAAGCAATTAAAAACAGAAGAATATGCTGCTCTCCCTAGCTCAGAATCACATATAAAGCAGGATTTTCTGTGGTGACAGAATGAATCATGAATTATTTTACTGGTTTCTAATAAGAGCTGAATTTTTTAAAAAAGCGCCCCTAATCAATAAAAGATTAATTGTAAAGATCTAGTAATTCAAAACAATTCAGGAATTACACTTGTGGAATCTCAATTTACAGCAGAAATCAGAAAAAGTGTAACTATTTATTACTTCAGTGTGTTATTGCTCTGTTAAGTTATTTTGAAACTTCTAAGATATGTCTCTTTATATGCTCTTGGCTTTGAACATGTGTTATGCACTAACTTAAAAAAACGAATTTTCATCCTTGGTTTCCCAGGAGCTGGCAAGCTGTGGCTGGAATAAAAAAGAGAAATACAGTTCTGCACCGAATGCTGTTGCTTTCACCAGAAGATTCAATCATGTGAGTTTTTTTTTTTCCAGTGTTATTACATGTACACATTTAAAAAGTCTGGGGAATTAAGTGTTCTGGCACATCACTTTTATTACTGATCCCAGATGATTACTTGAACACGTAAAAGTATCTGCTGTAAGGAGTTCCTTATCTTCAGGATATACAGAAAAAACAAAACAGTACTGAAGAAATAGCTTTTTGTGTTTTTGTTTTAAGTAGCAATTATTGATGAAACAGGAACTAAGTGGGTTGTTTTTTTTCCCCATAATGCTGGCTGTCCTTTACATAAAGACAGAATTATCTTTACAGTTTAAAGGCTCACCATACTGGATTTCTGGAGTAGTAATTAGATTTTTTTTTTTCCTGTGTTAGTTGAGTGTCTTTTGCTCCACGTAGATGATTTTGTCTCTGAAAATAGAGCCTTTTGTCAGTATGGTTACCTTTTAAGGTGATTCTGGGCAAACTTTAAAAATTCCAAACAGTTTTACTGTACAAAACTTGTTCTTTACCTCTCTATTTGGCATAATTTTTCAGGTAGTGTATTTGAAACTTATGGCTTTCTTAAAAATTTGTCTGTGTAAAATCAACTTCTAAAGTAAGATCAAAGGTATGTAGTTAGCCAACCAAGTCTCAAAACTGTGCTTTTTTTATATAATGTCATATTTTGAATTTCAGATGAAGTAATTCTATTACCCTCATATCTCCCCTTGTAAATGTTTAATAATGTCTCAAACTTTCAAGCTCTGTTCCAGACCTATCTTCTATGCCCAGTCTGAGTTGTACAGGCATCTTTGTTAATCATCTGAAACTCAGACTAAACCTCTGACCTTTTCGGTTGCTTCTGTTCTATCAGTTGTTGTGTACTTTCTCACTTTCCATTATTGCTCACATCCAGGATATGACCAAATTGTATTACTTCTCATCGCCAACACTTAGAATATTTCTTAACCTTGTTATAACTGAAATACTTGTCTGGGCATGGTTTTTAGACTCTTTCCTGATTTTCCTCTTGAGTGAAGAGATGTCCGGCTGGAAACTTCTTGTGACCATACCATGTATTGTAATAGGGGGCAGTGTTGGGTTTTTGTTGGGAGTTTTTTGTTGCTGTTTTGGTTTGGGCTTTTTTAGTTGCATTTAGTTGCAATTTTCCTGATCCAGCTTTTGAAGTTGCTCCTTTATTGAGCTATATATCCAGCCTGAGGCTACTTCTACACTGATATGTTTTATACTAATCTCACTGATGTGCCAGTGATTTGCTGTTTTGTTTATTCATGTAAGTTGTGTCTTCAAAGAAACATTTGTTTTGCTGAATGTTCTGAAATGTTTTTGTAGTAAGGGCTGTATTGGGCAGTGTAACTCATCAAGGACCTCACTTATTTGTTATTGTATAATGTACTGAACTGCAGGAATTGGTTAATCAAAATTGACTTAAGACATATTAAAGAATTGCTAAAATACATTAGTAGCAAGAAGGATGGAGGGGAAACCTTATCCCAGGAATAAGCAATCAGCTGCCTGCAAACTGACAGTTTGTTGTTACAGAGCCACTGTTGAAAAATATCTAATCCATAAAATGTTAAGTATAGAGGGGAGCAACATTCACCTTATATAGCTGTTAAGAACTAGGAGGAGATACCTGCACTTTAGAAGTAGCTGTTAAAGATCTTAAATGGTGCTAAAACACTAACTCTGTTGTTAAATAGTGCTTAGAAAACTTCTAAATATAGTATTTTTAGATAAATTTATACAAATCCCTATGCTAGCAAAATCCCATTAGTTTATTATTGTAATCCTGTCTTACATCTTCCCTTCTTAATCATCTTAATGACTTTGGTTTTGTGACCATTTTAGATTTTTTTAAAGGATGTTTCTTGTTTTACTCTGTGGAACACTTATCACATCTGTTCACTGAATTATTGATGGGTGATAATCTTGGTTTTGTCAGTCTTATTTTTTCTAAAAATTCATGTGAAACTGGCTATATACATACAAGCAAAGGCAATAAGGAGAATAAGATGCTAGAAATACCTGCCTTTTAGTAATACATTTCTTCGTAATAGTTGGTAGTCCTGTTTTCCCTGGACAGCATTGCTAGCTGCTAAAGGGAGTCTTACATATTTTCATTACCACAGAGTGCATATTTGTTGTTGATAGACATTGACTATTTCATCTGTCTTAATTTGTTTCAAGAAACTCTTATTTTTGTTTGCAAGACAGTCAATCTGAAAAATTATAAAACTAGGTGACTCTGAAAGGTCAGCAGTGTCTTTGCACTTGTTCAGTGTGTTTCAGTGGACTAAAAGACCTATGTCACTGTTTAAATTTTTTTCAGTATGGTAAAGGAGAATCTTGAATAAAATGCAGCACTTGGACACCTGCTCAAAGCCAGTCAATGTAATTTCTTGTACTGTTTCTCTCCCTTTGCTCCCTTTCCTTTGGCTTTGCATCTGAAGGCCTTGCTAGAAATAATGCAGTCAGGGACTAAAATTTATCTATGAATTCTTCCTATCTGTAGCTTTTTTTTTGGGAGGGAATGCCAGAAAAGCAATACACATGACAGGTGGCCTGTAGTTCTTCTTGGATGTCATTGTATTGACATTTCATATAGTGGTATGTACGCAAATACAGCTGCAAATTTTTTGTCATAAGGTTTAGGTTTGCAATTAAGCCTCACCCCATTCATGTACTTTCTCTACAGCCATGAAAGTTGGATGTGCCCCTCTGTCAGCTGATAGGTTCCTTCACTGAGAATATCTTTGATAATGATTTCTTAAGATCCTTCTTAACATCTTGAAAATCTTGTTCTCTGTCATCTTGTAATGGTTTAAGCCCTGCTGGGACCAGAGAGCACGTTGCTGTTGCCCCTCCCCCACCCACAGCCAGTCGGGCTGGCAGTGAGGCACAAACCACGGGGTAAAATAAGAAGAAATTTAATACAACAGTGTGATAAACAATCTGAACAACAACAGTAGCAATGATAACAACAAAACCCAGCAATAACACTGAACAAGACAAATGATATACAGAGAAATACTTCAAAATTGTCACGGAACAAAGCCGACGTGTGGGTCCCGCCACCAAAAAGCCAAAGAGAAAGTAAAATCAAAATTTCCCGCCCCTGGACCTGATGTCAACATGATATGAATAACCCAGCTGGAGATCCCTTCCCCCTCTCTCTCTGCTGGGAAAACTTAACCTATCCTAGTTGAACCAGGACACATCTTTAAGCTCCAGCAAAGACCTATCCATATGATGGGATGTGTCCCTGGCTTTCATTTCCCTACTGGGTTTCAGATGTTGCATTGGCTGCTACAGCAGATTCCCATACTTAGATGGCTGTTATTGCTGCTTTTAGTGTCTAAAAGAAGTACATTGCCAGTAATCTGACTTATCCTCAGGACACTTCTGAAACAAGAAAAGTGGCAAAATCTAGAAGTGTGTCTTTGCTGTGCCAGTGAGTTTTGTGATGTCACCAGGGCAATCAAGAGAGGCCAGTTTGAGGCCCTATTCCATTGATTATCTTGCAAGATAGGGTCAAAAGGTCTTTTTTTCCTTCTTAACAGGCAGCCAGTAAGTACTTGGAGCCATTGCAATTCACCATTAAATTGCCTGGAACAGGACAAGTAGCTTTTCCATTTTTCACATTGTCAGCACCATCATACTCAGATGTTGCAGTGCTTAGGCTGTCTTTTGGGCTGTATTTAAAGCCAAAAGATTTGTAGGCATTTCTGTCTTCTTTCCCATTTATTTTTTTTCTTGTTTGTTTCTACTCTTTAATATGTCATTTGAAAAACACTGATAGACTGTAGGAGAAACTGCCTTGAAGAGCCAAAGAATAGGTCATAAAGAGGAAACAAGTCCAGCTATATAATTTCTGCTCAGATTCTGGGTTAGTTTGTCTCTAACCAACCATTTGGGAAACTACTGCATGCAGCTTTGATGGCTGAGGGACATACTATTTGCAAGAAGCTCTTCCAGGAAGTTTGCATCAGCCTTTATTGTGGCAGCAAGGAAAGTCATCATTCTTACCTTTGAATTATAGTGGGACTGGAGAGGGGAGGGAAAAAGAATAAGTATTTCAGTTAGAGGTTCCTGTTATTCATGATTGTACCTCAATTTTTGTCTTACTGAGACAGTAACTTTGGATGACTTCTGATGTGGTGTGGGGCTACGGTTCCAAATGTGTCATTGCAGAGGACTCATTCATTCTTGTAGTAATGTTGTGTTTAGATTCACCATCCTTCTGGGAGCACTGAAACCCAAGAATTCCTATGGGATGGGCAGTGGGAGATGGGATAAGAAGGCATGGTGGAGTAAGCAATTTTCATCTCCCTTGCCTGGTTTGCCTTCTTGGCATTCAGTTCTTACCCCAGGTGCTTGTTCAGCAGAGTGTAGTTCATGTTGGGCACCTGCCACACTTACCTGGGGGTTTCAAATCAGGAAAATCCTTGTGAATTTTGGCTTAATCAGTCCTGAATACATTTCATCAAACTTTTGTTAACCTTTGAAATTTCACTGAGTTTAACTGACGCTTTGAATTAGGCTCTTTCCTTTTTCCCCCAACTTGCCAAAAGAAAACCATGAACAACTCTCACTTTGTAAGTAAAGAGAATATTAAATCACTAACAGCTGCTTCATAGCAAATTGATCTGCTGATAGCATTTTGGAAACAGTAATGATTATGTGTAGTTGATTGCAGTCCATTGAGAATGTAGTGTATTTCCAGCATCTGTTATGTGATAATTGTATGTGGTGCCTGTAAATACAGATCAAGTTCAGGGAAGAGGAATCAATTAAATCATTCTATGCCAGGACTCCTTTAGTCTTGAAGAATACATTGCTACAGGGTACTCCATAGATCTACCCATCTACCACTAAGTATTGATTTTAAATATAGAATTTCTTTACGTAATTTTTTTGATCTCTGCCTTTTTCAGCTTTCTTCTGAAAGTTGTATACTTGCATACTGCTGTTGTAACTGGTAAATCTGTCGGTGCAAAATTGTCAAGTTTGTCTACTTACTAAACCAATTCTCTATCTTTTGAAAATAAGTGTTTATCATAAATTTGAAGCAAATGAGGTGTGTATTTTTTGAAGATTGCTGTTAGTCATTGATATGAAAAGTTTCATAGTTTATGTAAAGGTAACAGTTGCTCCCCTGCTTCTAAGATTATCTGTATTAAAAACCTCTTTCTAGAGGTTTTTATTTAAATGGGAGTGGAACTGTGCTGCCATGGAGCTTAAAACACTAGAGAAACTTGTCAACTAGATTAAATATATTGGAACAATTTTAAAGCAGAAGATCCTATTTGAAAGGCAAACTTTGTTTTACTAAATCTGTGTTTGGGTTTTTTGTGGGTTTTTTGAAAAACAAATGCAAACATTAGTAGGAGAGGAATTTTTGTCTTGAATATTGTAGTGTTGCTGAGTAGCAGTAAAGTGTGAGAGTGAAATTTTACTAGAGTTATCAGAAACTTAAAAATGGGGTGGGGAAGAGGTTAGTGGCTTCCTCTGGAAACAAAACAAAGACAGGGTTTCTATCTTAACTGTAATAATTTAAGGTTAGTACTCAGTTTTACATTACATGCTTTTTGTGTACCATATCAGAATGTTTTTTACAGATATTTGGAAGAACGATCCAGAAACTTATTAAAGAGTGAATCTCAAATTTGCCTATCTACTAATTAGCACAGAAAGCACAATTAGTTTTGGAACTGACTATGAACTGGAAGCACCACTATAACAAAACTAGAATTTCAGATAAGGCAAACCTGGGATAATTTTAAAAGTTTAAGCTGTGATTCAAGAAAAGATAGGTTCTGAAATTAAGCATATTTTTCTAGGTTGACCTTAGGAGAGAATAGAAATGCACATGTATATGTCAAGGGTTAGATGCTGTCTTGAACTGGTGTTGGAGACATTGATGCCCAAAGGCTGTGGGTCATCTAATTGAATGACATTGGTGGGACAGTGTGAGAAATAACATACAGATGCAGTGAGAGAGGACTTGAAGCAAAATAACCACAAAATATGTATGGAACAAATATGTATGATTTATGTGAAGAACAAACTTGGATAAAATAGTGACTTATTGAAACAAGAGTTTATATAAATAGCCTATTTTTCACTATTTGGAATACATTAGATTATGGTCCTGTCTAAAGATACCAGTGAATAGACAAGACCAGCCAAAACCCGATGTCAATGCCAGTAAAAATACATCAGAAGAGTAGAGGTGGTTGGAGTGGAAATAATTAAGTGTACTTAATTCTTTATCTCCTGTTTACTCCGTCACTGAATGGACTGGATGGCTCTAAGCTTCAAAGTTTTGCATTTTGTTCTGGTTTGGTTTTGCTGCAAGTGCTTGGAAGTGTTGAGACTGGGTCTGGCTGGGACTGGGACGGAAACCAGGCTTCCCTGAGTAAACAAGAGCACTTGTGTGGCATGGTGCTTATGACACTGTGATACTAATGAACTTTTGTACAAATCAGGGCCAGCATAGTAGATGGTTTGTTTTTTCATCCTGATGAAAATGATTGAGCATTGCTCTGTATTTTGAGCAAGTGTCTCAGCGTTGGGCCTACTGCAAGCAGTTTCTTGTTACATCAACGCTCTGTTAACTTGAGACCAAAGAGATTTGGGATTTTAAGACAGAAATGTGTGGTGTTTCTACCTGATTCTTTATGATAAGAAATGTTATGTTCAAAATGTAAATTCCCTTGATCTTCAGGGGGAAAGCATCTCCAGAGAAACTTGTTCATCAGTCAAGGGGAAAGGTGGTTTTCTAAAGCTGTGTAACTACAGCAGAACATCAAACTGAGGTTCAACTTTTTTGACAATATTTTGAAGTTAAATACTACAGTATTTTTGTATTCAGTACTTAAGTATTTTATTGTAATGCTGTTTGCACAGAACCATTTTTGTATCTGTCAGGGTAACAAAGTTTATCTGGAGATCCTTTGCCAAAAAAAGGAAGAAAAAAAGGGGGGGGAGAAGACTGAGCTCCACGGCTAATTCTCTCCTGGCTAATACAGCCTTAGACAAACAGACCAAAGGAAGGCAGTTGTTACACAAGATGTTTGTGGCTTTTTTCATCCCTTTTTTTGGTAATTATTCCAATTTTTTGTTCCAAGGAGCTGTTATATTTTGACATCTCAGTTCTTATCAGATCACTGTAACTTCACTGAAGATGTAATAATTTGGAGGTACAGATCTTCTCATGCTATTCTGTATAAAGAGCTGTCATACTATACAAAGTGAAACAGAGTATTTTTTTAATTGAAATTTTGGGCAGGAACCTGAATAACATATGCAGTGTGAGTGTACAAGAAGTAGTTTAGCATCACTCTTAAAACGCAGCATGACAGGTTTAAGGATGTTCAGTGTATGAGAGCACACATTTCTTCATACACCATTTTCAGTAGTTCTGTAAATAGCAGCCATGCTGTGTCTCACCAGTCGTTCATTTTTCCTGACTTGTAGTGAACATGTGAATAAAAGCTACGGTATTTGTTACCATTGGCTAATTCTTTGCCACTGTTTTGCTACGTTTATGAAGATGTTTATTTTCTATCATTCTTCTTTGTACTAAAGTATACGAGAGCAGAGGGTGTGGGGGGAGCAGAGGAGAGAAAATATTAGAATTTAGATATATTAAGAAAACATTTTCAAAGTATAGCTTTTATGAGGTATTCATGTAACCATGAAATGCAGCAACCATCCTTCATACCATACTGAATATAACAGGGATTTTTATATAACAGTAAAGTTACTCCTGTAAACCTTAACAAATTAATATGGAAGCATGCTGTATCTTAGCAGGTAATTGCTGTAGCCAGCAATGAGAGTACAGACTATAGGTTATAGTAGATAATTCCTACCTTACGTTCTACTTTTGTTCAGGTGATATCGATCTGATTATTATTTTTATACTGAGGTGTTGAGAATTTGGAAATGTCAGCGAACTGCAGTTGAAGCTGTTCAACGTGCCTGAGAATTGGACAGTGCAGCTTTGAAGCTGTGGAAAAGTTGGACCAAATGATGTAACTCGATTTTAGGTTTTATATTCCTTCATTTTGCAGACTTAATAAAATTTCATCATGCTTTTATTTTCTTGGGAGAACTTTTGAAGATGGAGACTTTTGCCCTTTGTTTTATTTCTGTGAGATCTCATCCTCAAACTGAAAATGAGTCTGTGTAGATTGTACATTAACTGATTCTGCTGGAGGTTTTTGAGATGTGCTGGTGGCAGAAGGGTTTTCCTCATTAGCAAAACAGATCCCAATGTCTTTGTACGCAGCTAAGTGATGTGAGAGATTTTACAAAGACAAGTTCTAGCCACCTGCACACTTACTGAGAAAAGCTCTCCAAGATACTAGTGTTGTATCGTGGGTGAGAGTGGGCAGAATAACAGCAAAACATTTTGAAGAAAGTTTTTAATTAATATTTAAGTTGTACTGGTTGGGATTTTATAGTGTATATATATATATTTGCGTCTTCTAGTATGTAACTTCATAGATAGAAGTGGCTATGAGACTTTTTAACATATTACTCATGAAATAAAAATGTAAAAAATGTTGAAGCTCTATTTTTAAAAGGCAAATTTTATTCTTTTTAGGTAAGCTTCTGGGTCGTTAGAGAGATTCTACATGCACAGACTTTAAAAATAAGAGCTGAGGTTTTGAGCCACTATATTAAAACTGCAAAGGTGAGAATTTGGTTGGCGGGGGTGGAGGGCGTGGGGTTGTGGGATTCACCATGATGAAAGTTCTTACACTTAAGTTGGTCAGTTCAAAAATACACGTGGGTAAATATTTATCTGATACCTGATTTAGCTGTGGTTGTATCTGTTGACATGAAGAGCTGTTTGGCTTATGCATGTAACAAAATTGTCTGAAATACTGACAGACCAAAGTCCTGAAATGGAAGCCTTTGTCTAAAAAAAAAACAACCCAAAAACAAAACCAAAAAAAAAAAAAACCCACCCACCAAAACACCCAAAACTTGACTATGGGAATGCAAAGATGCCTTATTTCAAATATTGTTTATTAGATAATATAATTTACCTGGTATGTTTTCTAATGTTGGTTAAATCAAAGTGCTGTGTGTAGAATCTGTTACCAACATCATCAGTCAGAACAGAAAGCGTTTGCTTTTACTATTGGAAGGAAAGAATTTGTTACCTCTTATTCCGGTTGTGGCATGAATAATATCAACTTAAATACTGTTTCAAAAATACACCTGAATTTAGAAAACATTTTAGAGCTTTCATCCTGGAATATCTTCCTGAAAGCCTTTAGGGCTGGTGATCATAAGAAAAGGGTCAGAAAATCTTGACTTACAAGTAGATGAGCCAGAGTCCTGGCCCTTCAAACAGAACAAAACTTCTTAATTGTAGTGTAAAGAGAGGGAAGTTTTTCAAGGTTTTACTGTCAGGTGGTGGCTGATTGTAATTGACAGCTAACCTCTGTGACCACCTCAGATTACCTGCAAAAAAAAAAGTTTTTGTGAATTACCTTAGTATTCATTTTGAAAATGCATTGTCTTGATATGCATATATTTAATGAAGTAATATTTTACTTCTGCAGGATTTGATTATAAATGTTGGGCAAAGCAAGCTAATTTTGTAAGATTCCACAGGCTTTGGTCAATAATCATGCTGTGGTCATAAACCATTAAGGATCTCTTAAATATCCTTTGATATCTGTTGAGTTAATCTATCTTCATCTCATGTGTTTTTAATAATCACTTAATGATTTTTTTGTTTTAAAATGCCACCATGCAAAAATTTGCCTCATGATCCATGTCCCTGCCATAGAAGGGGGGAGGTTCACCTGTGTGGCCATAGTGGGGAACTGATCTTGGAAGCCAGATGAGGTCAAGTTTGGTCAGTACTTGGGTGGGACTTGCCAGGGTGTTGTAGGCTCTGCTTTGGGCACAGCACCCCAAATGTGCTTGATCTCATCAGAAGACTGGAGGCAGCAGTGTCTGCTGAAATGCTGCTAGTTTTGAGACACTTAAGTGCTCTAGCAGTTAATTAGCTGAGCTTTGCTTACCTATGAGTTGTAAAAATCACAATTACAAAAAGCAAGAAACTATGTATGGGGCACTTTTTAATATTTTTTAATTTACTTACTGTATCTATTATCTTGCTAACATGAAGTTACTGTAGTTGGTACCATTTGAAGGCTTTTCTATTTACACCAAACCTGTTGTCAAAGAGACTTCATGCCAGAGGTCATGCTAATTAGCTTCTCTTTAGAGAGGCTGTAAATACACTCTACAGTTGTCAGCTCAAAGAATTCAATATATTGTATAGCTAGCAGTCCTTTAAATGGTATCTCATACTATATTGTTTTATGTGTGAACTAATTGGAATTAATAATGGCATTCCCCTGAAGTTACCAGACTATTCTGATTGGTTACAACTTCTGTTTAAATGCTGGCAGCAGCTAGGAAAGCCCTTTTTTCATTTTTAATCAGCTACAACTGTCCTTTGGTACAGTGAACTTTATTACCCAGTTTGGGGATGGGGGAGGAGACTTTATTGTATAAGTAGAGGGACAAAACAGCAGCAGTACTATTTGGAAGAATAGGATGACTGTGGTATATGACAAATATCCACACCTACCTCACCCCACAAAATATTTATTGTCTTTTACATACAGTTACTAAAGAATCCTCCCAAAAGAGGATTAGGACAGGGAAACACTTCAGTAGGTGTGGAAAGGCTCTCGCTGGTCAGTAGACATGCTGGAATCACAGGGTTCTGGGCACCCAGACCGAATCTGCTACTAGGGTGACCTGACAGCGAGCATTAAATGTGGAATTTCTGAGTAATAATATGAGAACTTTGTTCTGTGAAAGGCTGTTAGTTTTCTGCCAGTGTGTTAAGTGCGGAGAGAATCGTTTGCTCTGCTCCAAAACTATGAGCCAGAAAACCATGTTTGTATTATTGCAAATGTAAGGTTTCCTCTGATATTCAGCATTTATTGGGAATCAAGTTAGTCTAACTTTTTCGTCCTGTTATCTCATGAAAGGCCTCCTAATAAGAAACTTGGTAAGCTGAGTTTCAAAGAAGAAAAAAGACTTTAATTATTTCTGAAATAGCAAGGGTTCCTTATATTATTGTATCATTTCTAGCTGGAATCCTAACCTACCTTGGTGAATTTTGCAAATGAGTTAAACGGGATTTGCAATACTGTGATTGAGTATCCATTTCTCTATATCAGAAGTCTTTATGGTAGGGATAAACCCTCTGTTTATGAATGTAGTTCAGATCTCTGGGTGCTCATAGCTATCAGAATAATTGATACTGCAGAAGAGCTTAAGGAACAGCATTTTCTTCTAGACCATTTAAAGCTTTCATGACAGTAATACCAGTAGTTAATTGGCCAAGGTATATTGATGACTTTGGAGACAGAGGGGAAAGAAAAAGGAGAGGGGAGGGAAATTCCAAGTATGTAAGAAAATGCACTTATATGCAGGTGTTTTTGTAGAGAGTTTTAAAGAAAATTCTTTTACCCTGATGTTTTATGGGTTCAATTTTGATTTGGTTGTTCCTTTCCACTAGTTAGTTTTAGTTATTATACCCTCAAAATTGTCTTTCAGTGAGAGAAGTACTCCAGGTACCTGGCTTTTGAAATTTGCCTGGTTGATTTCCCTCTGCAGCAGTATTTTTTGTGTGCCTTGATGCAGCTGTGGTAGCTATGTAAACCTGCAGTGCCAAATACATTTACAATATTAAGTACTGCCATGATTACATCATTCACAACTGGGTTATCCTTTTTGGCATGCTAAGTTTTAAAGTTCTGTTGAATGCTATGAAAGGAATTTGCTGGGTCGAAATGTCAGAAGATTTCTGGCACTTCTGATGTATGTCCCAAGATGTATACCTACAGAGTTTTCTTTTCTTTAAGGGTTCTCCATGGACTATGAAACAGCTAGTATACTGTAATCCAAAACCGTAGGTGCAGTAAAGAAAAATTAGGAGGCGCTATAAAAGCGGTGTGGGTGCACAGGAGTTCACTCTAGCTCTTCTTTTTAGAACATGCAAGAATTCTTCATTTTTAGATTGTTATTTCTGCATTCATTATTGTATATATTTTTGTTCTCAGAAACTGTATGAGCTGAATAATCTCCATGCTCTTATGGCAGTTGTGTCAGGCCTACAGAGTGCTCCAATCTTCAGGCTGACTAAAACATGGGCGGTAAGTGAGCAGCAGGACAATGGAGGGGGTTTAATTTATTCTTAGGAAAACACAACATTCTGTAGCATGTTCTCAAGGATGAAATAATTATTACAGATACTTCTAATCTTTTTGTACCATGTATGTAATGTTTCTAGTGCCTCTTAAGTCTATGGTTTCCTGTTGAATTTTTTTTTCATTCTGGCATAGAAAAATTTTCCTTTGAAAAATAGTTCCCTGCAGATTCTGCTAAATGCAGAGGCTTTTAATTTGGCCAGAAGCTATTGTGTATTTAGTTGCTGGAAAGTTATGAATGCCAAAATGGGTCATACTTTAATCGTTTAGGGGTTTATATGGTTGGAATTTATTTTTTTTGCTATGGAGAGCAGATGTCTAGAAACACTTGATTCAATTTCCATAAAGAGATTTGTAGTTTTTCTGACTGATAACTAAATCTAGCAATTTTTCTGAGTGTTTCAGAATTACTTTCATAGTTATAACTGCATTACACAGTGTATTTGTTGTGAAAAGAATGGCATTCTTTGGAAACATTTATTTGACATCTGTTTTTTGGCTGGAATTAATTTTTTTTTTTGTGTAGCTGTATCCTTAATCAGAAGAACATTAGGAATGACACTAGCTCATTGATACCTCAGAGCTGAGAAAACACTGTGCTTGGTTCAGCCATACGTTGTGTAGCTATCCAGCTGTATAAACTGATGAACTGTGACATTTTCAAGTGTGACAGACATAATCAGGTGACTGAAATACTTCTGTGTGAGGGATACATATAAATAGATCATTAAAAAGAGCTAAGAACTTTAACTGAAGATAAGTCAACACATTATCACGTTACAAAAATAGGTTTTGATAACTGAATGATAACGTTGTTCGGTTGATATATGTTACCAAAATTGAATATAGTTCACACTTGCCAAGATACTCATGTAGAATTCTGGGCATATTTTGCAAATGTACAATTAAGTAAGACATTGTTTCAAAACATCAACAATATCTCTAAGGAAATCTTAATGAGATTAACACTTTAGAATGATCTTGAGGAGAACTTCTATTTTCTATTTTTCTGGTTTTGTCATGTCAATAAATTGATGCTTCAGCAGTTTTACGTAACTGATGGCAAGTTGGGGGTTTTTTTTGCTATATGACTCTAAACAGATGCCGACTATAACCATATATTAATACAACCATATTAATTACTACCATGGTTATGCCATTCAGAACTGGGAGTTCTCAGTTTCTTTTCCTGTTTGGTCAACCAGAAGTACTAGTTTGCGCTTACAAGGATTATTTGTGTGCTGTTGGCGTATGTATCAGTTTTAAAGGTTTGCCCCACTTCCAACCTCTGAAATGCCAGGTAACTTCTCCCACATTTCTGCAGGTGTTTAATTTCTCATACAATGCCAAGTGACTGTATGTTTTTCATCATCTTATATATGTCTTTGCAAATTCAAGCTGCAGGATAGCTCCTAGCAATGTGCACTGCAAACTCATTTAGTTGTCTTTCTCTTGGAAGTCCAGTTTATAAATTCTTGAAGTAATTGTAAGCCTTTGGCTTTCTGTATATTAAAAGCAAGAAAAGGCATGTGAAAAGGTACACCAAGCCATTATTTGAATCACCAAGTCATTTGACTAAGTTATACAGTAGCCTTCTAAATCCTTCAGTAAGGAGGGATTTCTTTTCTGTTTCTGAGATAGTTTGTAGCAGCCTGCAAGCAACTTACAAAGTTAGGAAAGCAGTTGCAAATATATTCAGTTCCTAAAAAAAAAAAGGTCACCTTATGGTTGGAATCTAGAGTTGAAAGGACGCATTAAATACTTGCTTGATAATCTAATGTTCATAAAAAACATTAAATTAATGTCTTCTGACAGTATGTCTGAATATGTTTGAAATATGTCTCACTCGCTGCCTGCACATCCTCTGAACTCTGGAGACTAGTCAATGCTTCTAATGTGCAATTTGCCCCATTGAAAGCTTGAAAAGAATTATGAACCCTTCCAAGAAAGTTCCTAGAATAGAATATTCTACTTTTCTCCATTTCATGTAAAGGAAGTCTAGATGACCAGCTATGACTTGGGCAATGTAAGCAAATAATCATTAGACATGTGATGTTAGGCAAGTGAATCCTGCCCTGCTCTGTCAGCACTCTAAAACCTCATCTCTCCTTTCTTGCATTTTGAAGAGGTGGTCTTCAGTGCTGGTACACTATAATTAAAAAGCAAAGAGCATCCTGAAAGGCTCCGAATCCTTCCCTACTACTCTAAACTATCATCTTAGCTTTTGTTGTCTCTGCATATGTACATCTCTTTACTGTCGTTTACATCCTTTGAGCCTAAGAGACAGAGAAAGAAAAATTATTTAGAAAAGGAAGCAGCTCCAAAACTGAAGAAATAACAGTTGGGTCCTTACTTGCCCTCACAGAAACACTTTTGATATTGTCAGCTTCTCTGTACTTTTGTACATTAGTGCAGGAAGTGGGGGCATGATGTGAATTGCACCATGAACACAAGGGAACGTCATACAGGATGAACTTGTTTAGAGATTATTCAAAGAGCCTGAAATGATGCATCAGACTTGAACAATATTGTGCAGATCAGCATGTTTTGAGGAAAATATAATTAATTTAATTCAAGTCTGAATTTAGGCCATTACTATATCTGTTAGTCTTGTCTTACCTTCCAGTCTGCAAAACTACAAAGGTCTTCCAGACACCAAATGGTGGCAGAATATTTTAGAATATTATTAAAGACGAGATAATCTCGGCTGATTAAACTGGAACCATCTTTGAGAAGATAAATTTCAAAAAATAAATGTCGTGTTCCAGCGGTTGGAAAGAAATCATGCCTGTCTGCTCTTTCCTTGTTCTGGAATTGCAGATGTCTGCAGGTTTAATGAACATGAGATACTGTTCATCCGAATGTTGGAATCAAAGTTAAAGATGTAAATTAGTTGCTAGAATGTCAGATGTCAATATGTCTTGGGAAGCACGTCACTTTTAAAAAGTGACTGTCTTTCGAAAGCCAGTGTTTGGTGGTGTGTTAGCTATCCTAATGAAAACTAGCATATAGGAGATGTAAGTAAGAACAGTTATTTCAATAGTGAATTTACAGAAGGGACATTTCACTTTTATCATGTTCACATAGGTTGATGTTTAACTGAAAGAGAAAAGGGAATATGCTTACTAATTTAATTATCTGACCCATGTAACTTTTGCACTATTGGGTATCTTATAGGGGAAAAATTGTGACTGGGACTAGAACACCAAGTCTTCTGCCAAAATGTTCAGCAGGAATGTCTTACACCCTTCTTTAAATTCTGACTCTGAATTGAAATGAAGCCTTTAAGGTGATTTTGCAGTAGTAGTTCAGCTAGATGTTTTAAAAATATCTTGACTTAATTTCCCAATTTTATAATGAGAGCCTAGTTGCTGTCAATTCTGTCAAAGAAAGGGATGGGGGAGAAGAAACAGACAGTGAAGGAGATCCATAACTTTTAAGCTTTGTCACTGAAGTGGACATTCCTGTAATATTAGGAGCCAGTAAAACTGCTTGTTGTCAGAATAATATGCACAACCTGTATTCAACTCCAGAATGCCTTCTGTAAAGAAAAATCCTTAAGGAGTAAATGCTGTAACTTTGAAGCAGTTGTATTTTTAAAAAAACAAATCAATGGGAAGTGGAGGTGGAAATCCATGCTTATAAGGGTAAGAGAAAAATCACAGTGATCAAATTTAAGCTCATCTGGTTTTGCCTTTTTTTTTTCCTAGTTATTGAGTCGAAAGGATAAAGCCACCTTTGAAAAGTTGGAGTATGTTATGAGTAAGGAAGATAATTACAAAAGGCTTAGAGACTATATCAGCAGCTTGAAGATGACTCCTTGTATTCCCTATTTAGGTAAGTTGAAGTATTTCTAGTGGGAAACACTATTGACAAACATACTTCCCTAGTAATTACAGAAACTAAAGACCATCTTTTAAGCATTCATGAAACTATTTCAATACTTCAGTAAAGAATCTATAACTATTAGTTGATTCAGGATACTCTGTATATGTCAGGAAATAACTTCACTAGCTCTAGAAAGAAAACACCTATTAAACTTCTTACAAACACTTCAGGTTTACGTACAGTATCAGCTTTCTAGGAAATTATTTTCCCATATGCTGTATAGATACACTGATTCACTTCTGGAGAAGTACTTAAGTTGTTATGTCTGCATGCACTCTTAGAGCTAAATACTTGACTGTTATGATAATGATGGCTTTTAATTTATGAGAAGCTATAAATTGCCAACCTCAGATAAATAATTGTAGATCTTAAGGTTTGGAACATGCTGCAATTTGGAGATATTGCTACATTTAATATTCTAAAGTCATAAGAGAAACTGCATTGTTATGACTGATGCATCTTTATGGAATAACTATGACTAAATTATTCATGTGTATCTGTAAACTGGATAAATGTGTTTAACTGTGTTTTGATAAAATGTGTTTTGTTGCCAAACCAAGGTTTTTTAATGTCTCAGTTTAGTTTGTTTAAAGTGATAAGTGTGAGGTTTTTTTTAGTGTAGCTTGATATCATAAGATGTTGGTAGCTACATAAAACTAAGGAAATATTTACCCGTTTGTTCCTTTTCCATAAAAAGTAGTTGATATTTTTTCAGATATGAGTTGCTCTTACACCTAAATTGAAGATGACTTTCTGTGGCCATGAAGCTTTATTAAACTGTAATCTCTTTGTTCCTGAAGTTTGATACTTCCTTTACTCATCTGGACTATTAACTGTTTCAAGATCAATAACTTGACAGTTGGCTTTATGCTGTGATGTAGGTGTCTGTCACAGTGTTATTTCAGTTGCTTGGTAACTTGTTATGAGTGACAATATCATCACTGATGTTAGAATCTAGAATGATGCATCTAAAATGCATATATTTGCAAAATTGGTTGAATTTTATATGCTTTATATTTAAATAGAAAAAAGTACTTTGCTGTAGTCCTATAGAGTTCTTCATTCTGTCGTCATTTTTTACTTACCTGTTACATCCCTCCCAGAAACATCTATCAATTCCAACATAATCTTAACAGGTGTTAATTCCTGCTAATTTCAAGTATTCAGATGTTGGTAACTGATTGTGCCTAGAATGGAAAAGTCAGCATGAGTGTATTTTGTCTGAAGTATGGGGGTGAAAGTTGCTGACATGACATTGTCACATGCTACCCTGTTGATGTAGCTGTTAAAACTAGGCCTGAATTTAAAACAAGACAAAAAAAGAAGGCAAGTATAATGTAATGTGATTAAACATGTCATTTTGTAGCTTTCCCAGCATGTGTACACATATAGTATATATATATGCAGTGTATATGGTTCTGAAATGTAGTTTCCACCTTTCCAGATGCTTTTTACATTTATGTCATGACACTGAAACATGAAGGCAGGCTCAAATTGTTTTCTTGCTGATTATAAAAGTCCCAAGCCAAACTTCTGTCAGGTTTTGGGTGGTTTTATGTTTGGGGTTTTTTTTTTCTTTAAATCCCATGATACTCTGACCCTTACCATTATGGTCTTCTGATACTGATGTACAGAGAAATCTTTATGCTTTGCTATATTTGTCTGACACTTTAAAAATACTTCCTTACTACGTGCAAGTGTATATTTTAAAAAACAAAAAGTTGAGATGTTGGAAAACAATGTTTTAAGTTTTGTTCAGTTACAGATGTTTTCCTTAATATGTTAGCAAGCAACTTCTTATCTAACTTCTGAATTAGAATAAGTTTTGGGCTTGACTTAATAGTTTGAAGTGAAATGTATTTTTCTTTTCTACTTAGAAAGAAATACTCTTTCCTGTGACCTGCTGTAGTTAAAGAACGTGTTGTGACATGGTTTCATATGATACCAATTCTTATTAATGACATGAAGAATGTCCTCAAGCCTTTTTTAATCCTCACAAGGAATAGCAAATGTCCACTGGTGCACTCCCTCTAAAAACAATTTTGTAAAGTTTAAACAAGTGGCAAAAATAACAAAATTGCCTTGAAACTACAGTTGTGATGAATCTGGATCTATCTTGGAAGATTGGCTGAGTCCAGTTTTTCTCATTTGATCGAAGCTTTAATCTCCAGTAAGACCTGAGTAGATTTGCAGGAATTATTTCCTTTCCAAGGCATTTTTCCTAATGTAAGAGTCATATGGAGCAGAAGCAACTTAAGTTCCTTCATTCACTTACAGTTTTAAGCTGACGAGTTATAGGTTATAATTCCTGAAAGAATCTTTTTCTGCTATGACTTCTGGTATAAAATCGTATGCAGGAGTAGTACTGCTCCTGGTTTAAAATATGTAGCAAAGTCTACCTAAAAGTCTGCACTTTGAAATTGTGGTCATGGCATGTGCCAGGGAGGGGGATTAATCATAAGGTCCATTTCCTCTCACTGTAAAAGAAGGGGTAGGGCTTTCTTCACTATTGGTGCAGAAGTCTGCAGTTACTGTGCTCCCTTAAAATGCTCTTTAGAAGAATGTAGAGAATCAAGCCTGCCACGCAGTTACCTTTGCCATTTTAAATCCCCTCCAGACAAATATTGGCAGTGGTAGTGAAGGACCCTTTTGGAAGGTCATAGGCAAAGTGAGCCTATAAAGCAATTTCAGCTTCGATTTCAAGGATGAAAGTTTTACCCTTCAGAGGTTACTAGAGATTTACCCTTATGCAACCAAACATCCAATGTGAGTGTGGAATTTTTTTAATTGCCATCTTAGCATTATAAGCTAAAGTTCAAATACTTTTTTTTCTGTAGTCTTTGCATTGTGAATGGAGTCATAGAAATACAGGTTTCTTTTCTTATTACCACTGTGGACAAGATAAAGATGTCTTTACACATTTAACTAGGGGGGCAGGAATAAAAATATTTTCCAGTTCCTTGCACTAATAAGTATGATGTGATTCCAGATTTCTTGAAATGCAAGTGAGAGCAGCACATCACCAGTGTGGACTCACTAACTTAAATGTGATTGTCGAGCCATGCAACACTAATAAAAATGTTCAGCAGTAGGCCCTCATCATGTGATGTGGGATGTGTTGTCACTGTTGCATCACCTGGCCAACTAAAGTAGCCAAAACAAATGGGAGCTGTACATGTGATATTTTATCTTGGAATAAAAACCCAGTCTCTAAGGGAGTCTCATCCTGGAGTTCTGTTCAATTTGAGATAGCACAATGAAACAATTGAGCCGTATTTGAGAAGTAAGATTTTTATTTAACTAAGCAGGTACTACCTTGTGAAATGTTTCCTTATAGCTGTCTTTCAGGAATTATATCCAGAAACAGAGAAGCTGAAAACAGGTTATTGAAGTATTCATCTGATGAGTATTCAGTTACTTGAGTGATAATGCTTGCAATAGACTTTAGAAATACATGTGAAAACTGTTTCAGGTTTAGTACAGGTTCAACTTCTTCAATGTCTGCTTGGATAAATTTGGACTGATAGTACGAGAATAGTGAAAGCTCTATCTTCCAGACATACTGCTTCTGAACATCCAGTGCAATGAGTTTGAGGCTTGCTACAGCCTCTTTTGAAAAACTTCTCTAGAAAAAGTGAGAGAAAACATTGAACTTTTAAAGTCATTTACCCTGCTTAGAAAATTCAACCCAAAAGCTAAGAACTGATAGCATTTGAAAGTACTATTGTACACCATATGAACCAACCTGAAAGAGAGATGCTCTGCTTTTCCTCCTCGTGATCTTAAATTGGCAACTTAATTTTAAGTCTTTCCTTTCAGAGGCACAGCATTTGTACTCTGAGCTTTCCATTTTGTAATAATGTTCAGTTAATGTCATCCTGTAGCCTTAAACTGGGGAAGACTCACTTTTTAGATGTCTAATATGTAAGATTTAATTTAAAGGCTGAGTGCAAGCTAATTTTTACTTAGGGGCTTCTGCAAAGTACATCTTTCACTGACTGTGCTGAATAAACAAACGCTGTTTTTGTAGCAGGCAAGAGATTCTTGTGGTAAGATAAGATCTCTTCCAAGGAGAGGAAATCTGTTGGTTGAACAAACTAAAGCTGTCAGAAGTGTTCATTAAAGGAACGTTTTTGGAGGGCATTTTCAGCTTTTAAATTTACCTGAATTCCTCTTCTATCCAGCTACCATAGAAAAAAAAATAATAGACTATAGATAGTCTGAATTTTAAGCATTTTTAATTAAAAAGCATTTTATAGAACACTCAATGAGGTCTGTACAATATTTGTAACAAACAAATATTCCTTATATGAAGAACAATTTCAGAATTGTAATCGTAAACATGTGCTAGTTAAAATTCTTGGAATTTGGGAATGGAATATGCTGGGATTTATTCTCCACCAACCCTGCCAACCCCAATTAAATGTTGGAACTTGTTGCCCTTGATGTCTGACCAAAGATGTAACTACAACCCTTGTTGCCATGTGTTATCCATGAAGCTTTATCTACTTTAGAGAATACATTTTGAAAGCAGAATGCTGTTTTTCTTTCCTCTGAATTAGAAATGAGGTTTTGAATAACAATTGACATAGACTAATTTAACATAACAATATTAGATTATTCTTTTTGCTATTAGGGTTTCTTATGTTAAATAGGGGCAAAGTTCCTTAAAATCCTGAAGGCACATAGGAATTGGCAAATAGGTTGGGTACAGTTCAGAACAGTGTATTTTGTTTTTATGTAATATCGAATTAAATTAGGTAAACTGTGTGGCTAAGTACAATTATTAAATAATTTTATATACTAGGAAGAAAGCTTTAGTTTTGGAGACTGGTGCCTAAAGTGAACATTTTGTTGCTTCTGATTTTGAAAGCATCTTGTTTTGATGCAGTAAGTTGGCTTCTGTTAAAGATTGGAAAAGTATTTTCTAATCAATCTCTTAAATACCAGATTTCCACTGAAATTATGTAATCCAGAATGTAGAAAATTTAATATAGACATATCAAAAGTTATATATATGTAGGGGAAGGGAATTGTGTATATCATAAGAACAGTCTAATGGGGTGGCAGGCAGAGTACACTCAGGGCTGATTTCTAATGTTTTTTTACTATGTCAGCAGGAAGCTGTGGTGGAGGAAAACTTGTCATATTCAGAGACTGTCCTTCTCTAGTATGTGTGAACACTTGTTCAGACCTCATCACTCCTAATTGGAGTGGAGGTGGGTCTCCAAGTGTCAAGTCGTGATTTTAATATCAGGGCTTTTCATTTTGCCATTTAAGTTCAAAGTATCCTTTTGTTTAATTAGGATGTTTGAATATGGAGGTTGAAAGTTAAAAAAGTATCAAGCAATTTGATTGTTTTAAGTTTACCAATAACTTCATACAATTATTTTTCTTAGTTTAGGAAAATATTGCCTAAATGTTTTACAGAAGGTAGGATATGCAGTTCTTCAGGAATTCTCTACAGCACTAAAAATTTTTATATTTTATTTTTAATTTACTGCTTCATTTTGAAATAATTATTTGTTGCAAAAGTGTGTCTCTGCTGGCAAAGCTAGAATGTCTTCCATTTTTTCTATAGCTTCTTGGAGTAAATCTTACAGTAATGTGAGGTCAGATTTTCATTGAAAGTAATACCAATGTTTTTAAATAATTGTTAAATAACTAATCCATTTTCACATTAAAGCAAGACAATGTCATTTCACATATTTACATTAAAGGGTTGAGCTAACCTGAAAAAGCATAAGCTTTTTAAGTGGAAAAGCTTATAACTTGTCATATATCTGGAAATTTTTACCAGCTCTAATGACTGTTTCATAAAGTATGTTGGACTTGAACAAAGATAAATATGCTTTGCAAGCACAAACATCTGCTTTTGTGTATGTGTGTTTAAAAAAACCCACTGTCTGTCACAGTAGAAAAGGTTTCTAAAAAAATGAGAGGGCAACACAATGGGGGGGGGAAGACAGGAAAATTGTAGACCTGCTTTTTGCAGGGGCAGATTGTGCAAAATGATGATTAAGAAGTAATATTTTATTTTTCTGGAACTCAAGCACTGAGAAGTTTATATACGATCACTTGAGCTCTGTGAGATTTTCCTCCTCAGTCTATAGGTCTGATCATCATTTGAACTGCTTTCAAGGAGTAGGAGCCTCCCCGGTACTCAGCCCAAAATATTCCATCCTGATACTTGCTCCTGTAGTGGCCTCCTCTGTACCACACCCCATTAAGGTTGGAGTGGGCACACGCATTGTACCACCAGCCGCCTTTGTGAAAATGAGCACAGTTTCCTGTGGAACAGAAAGAAATGGGTGAACTTCAACACTGGAGAAATGGAGATTAGCAAACACTTTCATTTTCTGGTTTATTCTTAGAGGGAACTTTGAAGTACTTCATAGCCTGTTGTAGTCATATCAATTACTGCTTCTACCTAAATTATAAATTCTGTTGTAACAGCAACCATTGCCTGGAGTGGGGATTATTGGCACGGTATTTAATGTGACAGCTGAAAACTAAGATCGGCTCTTCTCAGACTACCAGCAGTGCTTGTCCATGAGCTAACGTTCAAGGAACTCGGATTATGTACTGTTTAGAAATACTTCAGTGGAAGCAATGTGAGTTGATACAGTCCCAAGCAGTGTGCGGGGCCACAGTTCCACAAAGAGTTGCTTGTAACTTGAGTGTTTACTGTTACAGGCTTGCTTAAGAGTTTGCAAGATTTGTCCAGCTTTATGGTTATTGACAGCTGAGAAAAAGCAGTTAAAGTATTACACTCCCCAACTTTTCTTCTACTGCTAAGGCTTTAAGGGGGAAAGCTGGAAGAAGAACATGGAAATGAACAAAAAAATGTCCTTTAAGGAGAATGAAACAAAATGCTCTGCCCATTTGTCAAGATTGGTACATAACTAAGCCCTTGCACAGTTGCAGTTCCTTTCATGTTCAGAGGCTTTAATTCCTGGTAATTATTGTTGTGTGGCCACAGCAGTACTCTGAGAGATCACCTGGGTAGGTATTCTGACTGCGGACAATCATATGCAAGTGATAAGGGTGTCACTGAGCTAAATATAAAGGTTGCTCAAGTGTGTCTGCAATGTGGGTAATAGAATTTGAATTTCTGAATGGTGCAGGGGCTTGAAGGGGTCCCTGTCAACATGATTGTTATCATTATCAGTTTGAAGCATCTTTCAATAGAGTTTTATCGGAATTTACATACTTTTGTACTATATTCTTTTTTAAAAGATGGTATCACTAATGGAATCAGTGTTCACTTTTCGCATACATAGTAGTTTCCTTACCTGAATACATATCCCTGTCTCTGTCCAGTGTTGTAAATTGCTTTCCATTATGCCATATCATGGAGTCGCCTGCGTTTCCTTGGTATGTTCCTAAGCGTATCCTGTAGAATTCACTTTCAGGCTCCAGGCGAAAACTGCTGTATTCTGCATAGACTTTTTTATTGCTCCAGTCCTCTAACTCAATCAAAAGTCTGTAATTATCCTGATTGGTAAGCATGTAAATATTTTCTAGTCCAAGCCAGTACTCTCCATCAATGTTTCCAAATCCTTTCTGTACAAAAGATCAGAAGGTGATGTTAGCTTCATTTTTCTTGTTTGTCAAAACGCTTATCAGCAGGAGTATTAAAAACCAGTGAAACTTGGGACTGAAAGTCTTTAACATTCGAATAACTGCTCAGCCCGTGCATTTAAATGCTTTATTTTGTGGCACATGGCCATTTACTCAGTTGGACTGCTAGCTGCATAAGGTACTTCCAGAATCAGTAAAGATGGCAACACTGTCTGTTTTCTGTGATGCTCTAATTTTTTTAAGATTAAGTGAGAGAGAACAGGGAAACTGAAAATATTTCTTGAGAAATCTAAGGGGATCTGTAAGAATGTATGAATAATGACATTTAAGGGGCTATATTTCTAGGTTGGAACAGATTTATGGATCAACATTCTCAGTGTTCAAGGTAAATTTTTATTGCCTTTTTAATGCAACTCATGTTGGGTTTTTTATGTAAATTTAATCACAGAATTCATCTGTGCTCTTTACTAGATTTCTTAGAAATGAAATAATAAGTCTTTCCTTTCAAATCATAGACTACAAGTAGGTAGGTGTGAAGTCATATTTCATATCTGCTGTCTCCTGTCCCTGAGTAAACCAGTGTTGTTAATGTTTGGTGTTGCAGCTAAAGCAGGTATGTCACCCCACCATAGCTATCTGTTACACTTCCTAGTTTGAGGTCTTCCTACTTCCTTATGAAGCCATTGATTATGTAGGACCTACATTTGATTTCCTGCTTTGAAGCACTTTCTGTGGAAGTTTCTCTTGAGGAGATAAACAGTCTAGGCCCCAAACTCAAGCTGCAGTTTCACAAGTGGCTTAAGTTTATCTAGCATCATGCAGCTGCCAAAAATGGTAGCAGTGCTTTCCTCCTGGCTTATGGCCACATTTGCAATACTTCCCTTGTGTCAACACTGTGTCTGTGCAGCCACACAGAGGTTGGGGAAAGAATTAGAAATGTGGGCATCTCTGTTGTTGATACAGGCTTTATTTTAAAGCTAGTCACAGTGGTGTAACTTCAAGTATCTGAAGTTAGGTAATAGGAATACCATCTTCAGCTACTGCAATTTAATGGGAAATCTCTCAGGGGCAGATTTGCCCAAGCTTGAGCCATTATAAGACACCAGTTAAACACTTTCTACATTTTATTGCAGTTATGTTCAGAATCTTTATAAGACCCTCCATAACTGCCTTACAACATTTACCAAAAAAATGCAACCCAAAAACCAACTGCCTGCTTTTCTGAAAAGTAAAGACTCTGTAACTGCTACTAAGGAATGATTAACATTTGAATCATTAAATTCCACAAATGCAAAAAGTGAAAATCCTCATAGTAATTTTTTGTCATTTCCTTTGTATATATGAATTTTTAGATTACTAATTGAGTTAAATGTGCCTCAGCTCTTCAGATACAATGCACTTGGCAATTATGGATTAATTTCAAATGAGCACAGCATCATAGGGGAAAGCCATGTACTATAGATATGAAGTCAGAACATCATTATTATTATTATTATTATTATTTAAAAACCCAACCAAACGGATTTTCAAATCTCCTGTCTAGCATGTAATTACTCCAAAGCATCATGCATTTGTTATCCTAAGTGTTATGCCCGCTAGTGCATAATATCACAATAATGTACAAGAATGTGAGTCCCTTCGTCAGCCCTACATCTTCAGATTTGTAACCTAATTTTAAAGGTAGAAATTATTTCCTTTAATTCATTATTAGGAATTTTTTAAAGTTGAGACTCTGATCCTGCTAATCTATTGATGTGCTTAAATGAATAATTCCACTGTCTGAGATTGCTTATTCATAAGGGAGACAATTAAGCTTTTCAAGTAATTACAGTAGTTCTCAGTGCATTAATAAAAATCATGTGTTTAGTTAGGTCTTTGTAACAAATGACTTCCCAATCACTGTCTAGAATAATACGCCTCCCCAGTTGTTGTGTTGTGCATTAGAAATGCAGCCTATTTCAGACAATAAATTCATACAAAGTTAAGTAATCCACTGAGTGAAATAGGACATTCCCACTGAAATATGTTTGCCTCTGAGGGATGACCACACTTCCAAATTGTCTTTGTTAGTAAAATTAATTTCACTGTCTAAATTAAGCAGCTGTCTTTTTTCCAACTCCTCAGTGTTTATCGTTCAGTACAACCATTTGCAATGAAGAATTGCATTGGAGATTGCACCATCTTGATTGCAATGAGTTATGTCACTGCCACACTGGAAGGAAGCAGCTGATTTTCGCATTCCAGAATTTACCTTGTAACTATCCCAGTTCCTGAAAAAGTTGACAGACCCATCTGTCCTCTTCTGAAGAACTGCCCATCCTCCAGGGTCCAGGCTGTTCTCACACCATAGTTGCATTGGCTCATTACTATTTTCAGGTTTGATCATATAAATCCCACTGTTGGAATGCCCAGCTTCCTTGGCTTGTTGGCAGTCTTTGAATGGACCTTTTTGAAAAGAAATACTGTAAGCATTCAAGCTTGGCTACGCAGTGCACATTGTTGAAGAATATTTTGTAATGGTAATGGAAGTCAGTAATTCAATTAAGGTAAACTTACCATGGAAAACAGTGTCAAAAGTTAGTGTCATAGATTAATTGTGTGTATAGAAAGAAACATGTAAATATCCGAGGTAGATATAGATAGATATGTATGTATTTTTAAGCAAAAACTTCATATTGCTAAACAGATAATAGACTTTGGTTACCAACACCCAATTTTTAATTTTGTCAACTGTGTCAAAGATTTATACTCTTACCCTTGATATTCCAGAAGTGCATTATAATTTTCATTATTTTCTCCTGTACCAGTGTTGTTATCGTGCACCCATTTAAAGCTGGTGGGAGTTTAAAACAAAACAAAGCCAAGGCACCCTAACAACCCATACAGACACCTGAATACTTAAGTAGTGCGAGAGCTGCTATAAGAAATATTTAGGTGAATTTAATGAAAGAGCATTCTTATACTGCATAACTTTTTTGCCTTTATGTACTTATCCAGTTCTGGAATCAGCCTGTTTACTGTGGATAGGAATCTTATAAGTTTCATGTGTCATCCTGGTGGAATACATGTAGATGGATACTGATAAAGAAAATATGCAAGTACTGGAGAAGGACTTTTGAGGAGCTGAAAGGGCTCACATAGTTGTTTTCACGGCTATGATTCTACAAAAAAAAGCTATTGCTGTTCAGTGTTGCTTGAAAGCTCCATTTTAGACCATGGAATAGTGGTTTTACAAATATTATGGAAGAGCATCTGGTTATTCTGTAAGAAGCATGCAACTTATACACTTCTGGAAACTTTACCTAGTTTGCCTTTCAGTTTTTGGTAATATTGTTCTCTACTTAGAAAAGGATTAATGTTTATGTATCATTACTTGAGTTGATATAGAGAGACTGGTTATTTACTAGTGAAAAGCAGGCTGTGTTCTTGATGGCTAGTTAGTGGTGGATGCCCTAAATGTATTTGAAAAATCATATTCAATAAATATCAAAATAAATTACCTACAGCTTTCTTCTCATTTTAAAAGGTTCTTTTTCTCCAGTTGACATGGAAGTTCAGAGAAAACTAATCAGTCACAGAAGAAGCTAATGTGCAGAGAAACACAGGAGACAGTTGTTGAGGCTATTCTTTAATCAAAAGTAGAGGTTGAGTGGAAGTGACCTTTATTGCAGATTAAGGTTGCATGACAAAAGCAAATTGGAAGTCTTGCTTTTTTTAGGTTTTAAAGTAGTAGCTGCTGGTTGGGTAAGTGTGTAATTAGCAAGAAATCTGAAAGCGTTTCATATTAATTAAAGTAAAAAGCTTGCGTATCTAATGAAGGTGACTACTTGGAGCTTCTGACTGCGACAGTGCTACCAGAATGCTGCAAACCCTGAGCCATCGTTGTAAGTACTGCAATGTACTGTACTATCAGTATTTGATGATGGTTTTGTCATTCTTGCAGTGCATGCAATAATATCTTCAGAAAGAAATACTGTAGCTTCAGTATATGAGTGCTTTTCCATGTTGATTTTGCACATTGCAAAATTCGGCCACTGGAGAGATAAGTTCCTGGGCTAAATTGGATCTCACTTCCTTTCCTTGAACTAGCTGAAGTAAATTTGGGCACTGTATAACTGAACAGGGAGGTTGTTCTAAAGTGTTATTGTAAAGTAATTATTGCATTAGAAAAAGTGTAAACAGACGAGTAGTATTTTTTGTAATCTTAATTGAATATTAAGAATAGCTCAATGTAAATCTACTATGTATTAATTTCACATGACTTCTACTGAAGGAGGAATTGAGGACTCATTTTTCCATGGGAGACCCAAGCAGATGTTTGGAGTGGTTTTAAGTAGCTTTCAAGGCAGACATAATTCTCTTAGCTTGTTTATATAATACACTTTGATCACTTCTGAAATTCAGCTGGCATTGTCACAGGATGCAACTTGTCTGCTTTTTGATGCTCAAATTCATCTATGTGTTTATCAAAAGTTAATGTTGTAGTAGAGGTGACAGACTTCTGTTCTTAGTATAAAGAGATCCAACAAATCCAGTAATTTCTGATGCATAACCTTGAATCTTTGAGAAGTAAATTCTTTGTTATATATAATTATTTTAAGTTCACAGTGTAAGAACTGTTCCATTGCTTGTTTGGTGGAAATGCTGAGATTTGTGAAACAGTGTAAGATTTTTCCATAGTGCTGGTGTGAGTGGAAGCTCTGGCTAATGAAAAAAGCATAATTGTTCTGCTTAAAATCTTGTTATCTATGTAAGGAGTAAGTATCTCGTGCATGTCTAGTCTTTTGTAACAGTCTGTGTACAGTAAGTTGCCAAGACAGTTGTAAGTTAGAAATACTCTGAGAAGATGATCTGTTAAGTATTTCACTTCTAAATTGTGATTTAGGTGTATAATTTAGTACAGATCATATTCTATTGTAAATTAGATGTAGTAGAGAAGGAAAGTGATAAAGTATTTTAAGTTGGAAGCTTCAAACAATGGCTGAACTCTATTTTGAAATGCTAAATGTTATCTTGAGCAGATGATGTAATTGTGTGAGCTTCATATAGAGGGTATTTTGGGTAGTAGTAGAGGGGAATTCCAAAATGAAGTTGTGGATAATTTTTTTTAAAGTTACATTGTTAAATGAGAGGTATTGGGGAAGGGTGTGAGTGTGTGTGTGTGTGTGTCTGTTTACTTGAAGCTACTGTTTGCAACATAGTGGTAGTAAAATTTGGAGACACTGGTTATTATTCCAAGGATTAAGATAATTGTAAAAACTGTAAGTCACATGACCACTGTTCTTCTGCAATTTTTAGAGCTATTTTAATGCAAATTAACCAAAAGACTCTTCAGAAATATAATCTCATCTTTGTACCCCATGTATTTTGAATTTTACTCTCCACCCACAATATTAAGATGCACATTGATCCTTCTGTAAACTTCTATTGCATGCAAGTATTTGTTAGGTACAATTTCACCAGATACAGTAGGAGAAAGCTCCTACTTGTCTCTCCTGTTTATTCTGGCATAATCAAGTCTTGGACAGGCCTATTTCTAAATTTGTTTCTAAATCTGTTTGGATTTCATTCATTTTTATTTGACATCTTTATACATTATAAACAGCCATCATCTTTTAACTAGAAAGCTCATTTTTTGATGACATACACAATTCTGTTTCTGTGCACCATTAAATATGCTTACCTTAATCTTAAAAATCAGAGATAATAACTGGGCATTGTGTTGCAGTTTAGAAATTTTGGCTTTGATGATTGATGCTCTACCAGCTTTAGCAATTTTCACCCCTCATTTTCCCAAGGTGCTGCAAGAAACACTTAATCTTCAAACTCAAGAATCTAGTATTAAATAAAGGAAGTTGAATAATGTTAAAATAAATTCCTTAATATTTTTTTGTGTTCCCTTGCAAAAATAGATTCAAATTGAAATGTTAGCAGTAAAGGGCCTAGTGAAAATGCTGGTAGATAATTTAGAGGAAAATATTTAGTGTTCTTGCTTCATTTTGTGTGTATAGCAGGCATATACCGAGAGAAAACTCATAACAAAACCTTGACACATGGGTTTTCTGGAAAACAGGAAGTTGCCATTTTTTTAGAATCATACTTTTGCTGTCTGACTAGACATAAATGTAATGCTTTTTTATTGGCCATTTCCTTTGTGTCATGATGTGTGTGTGATTTAAATTCTTATGACATCTGGCATTTTACTTGGGCTTGTGCCTGAATTTTCTGCAGACCCTGAATAAAAATAGTAGTTCTTTACATCAGTAGCTAGTTGTTTGTAATGCTGTAGAACAGTCACAAATAAATGTTTGGCTTCATCTTAGAAACCAAGTTGAACTTCCAACTGTGACTAAAGGCAATTTGAAAGCAAAAAAACCCAGCAACACAAACACCAAAATAAAAAACCCCAACCAAACCCTTTTGCTGTGCAAACTAATAGAAGCCAAGAGCAAGCACTTGAATGGATGTCTGAGAAAAACGTCCTGTTTTTATAAATCCTTAATTATTTTTTTATCGCAGCTCCATCAAAATTTTAATAAAGTGAGAATCATGATAGAATTCAGGGCAGCTCAGAGGTAGTTAATTTTCTTGTCACTAGTTTTGTTTCTAGTGATAAATGAATTTATCTAATGACCTGAAGAATGTAACACACAAGTGTTTGGGATAATGTCCCAAATGTATTTTCATAATATTTATGGTATTAGTCTAACTTGCCGTGCCCTAATGACATCAGTTAACTGGGAATGTAGTTACTCATCTTAAATTTTCATAGCTGAGTGTATATAATTGGTTCCAGACTTGATTCAATTATCCTTTCAAACTTATCTTGCTCTCTTGAAGATTTCACCCAAACACTTAGAGACTTATTGCATGGCTGTGTTGGTGGATTTAGATGTTCATTTTAAAGCAGCTCAGAATAGGAGTAAAATTATTCTAGGAGGAGTAACGTCTGGCAAATGTGTATGTGTAAGTATAAAGGACAACTACTTAAAATTAAGATGAATTAGCTTCTCTTACCATTGCTGGTTACTATAATGTGTAGCTGGTAGGCATCTTCAAAGAAACAGGGCTAAAGACTAGAAAGTATATGCTAATACTGAATTTTTGTGCCCATAACTCAAACCCAGCTGGGGACAGAAACCTCAGTGCTTTGTAACTCAAAAGGCATAAATTCTTCAGATTGACTTTTTGAGTGTCAACTCTTTCAACAAATTCCTCTTATGCAGCTATAGCTTAAGAACTAGACTATTTGGTGAACTAAACCTTTCCCTGGAGGTGAGGGGAGAAGATCAGGAGCAAGTGCTAGCTGTACCAGATACTTCAAATTCTTCATTCTGTTTCTATAGCCTGGACAGTTTCCCTCTAAAACAGAGAAATCTCAGGGTAGATAAACAGTGATAGGTAACTCACCTTCATTAATTAAAGCCAGTGGTGGTACTCTGAAAGGACTCTTTGTAGGAGAAGTAGCTGGATCGGGTGGCGGCCTTACATCTCTGTCTTTTGGGTAACCTGGATCTCGCTGTATCTCGTTCCCTCCCAGGAGAAGGGGAGTGTATGGCTGGCTGTTAGGAATGTGCTGTGGCACGACTTGAACAAGAGGTGGAGACCCATGGGTATCCTGTCGTGTGAAGATTCTCAAGCACTGCTCTTCCAGCAGCGAAATAGTCACAGACTGATTATTTACAAGATCAGTTAGTGCTGCGTATTTTACTTCAAGTTCCTTGTATTTTGTTGCCATCTTCAACATTTCTGTTGTAACATTAAGGACTTTGTTTTCCAACTGGGAAAGCTCAAGTGAGTTATCACGCTTTCGAATTATCTCATGCAGGAGTTGCATATAGAGTTGGGTGACCCGCGAGTTCATGTTACGACTTTCTTTCCTGAGTAGTTTTACTTCATTCACAATGTTTCCATCCACATCCACAACCAATTGCAAAATGTCAATCTCCCGCTTTTGCTTGGACAGCACGTCCTTCAAGTTCTCTATGTCCATTCTTGTGACTTCGTCTTTTCTGTTACCAGTACCCGGACCGTTAGTATTCACACAAATTGGCCCTGTGATTTTTTGTTCTGGAACCAGGAATGTGTAACCACATTTCTTGCCTTCCTCTCCACTGTCAGCTGAACGAGGGTGCCTCCGTTGGGATGTTTTATTAGGCGTAGATTGTTCTGTACAGCGCCCGATAGATAACAGCAGGAACAACAATACACCCAAAGTCCATTTAAATATCTTCATTTTAAAGCAAGTATGATGACTGTCAGAAGAGACTATTAAACAGATGAAAGATAAAATAATTAGAGCCATAGTAAAGGCTCCTGTACTGCTTAAACTGCCTAAACTGATGGATTTGCCATGCTTATGTGTATGTAAACAAGCCTTTGGAATCTTACTTGGAGATAGATTCCATTAGATTAGCTGCAAAGAATAGCTTTCTCTTTTGAGCAGCAAACCCTAAAATTTAGGTACTGGATTTAGTAGAGAAGTTGTAACAGATAAATTTTCAGAAACAATGTTCTGCTTAGATTATGTATTATGCTTGTATTATAAATTTGACTGCTTAGATCTATACTCACTGCAATTAAATGCACAAGGTTGTAGAACATATAGTGGTTACAGAATCTTCATGGAAGGGAGGTGGAGACAGTGATAGTATTTTCAAATATACTTAGATAAAATTTGGAATTTGAGTTATATAATCCTTTCTGGTCCTCTTTTAGCTTTATATATGTAGATATAGATAATTTTTTAAATACTGTCTACATAACTATTCATATACACATACATTTTTAAAATTTAAATATACGCAGATATAGTAGATTTGAAAAATACATATCTAAGACTATTTTTGGACATTAGTCTTAGACAGGAGATTAATGCAAGATAATTGCCTTAAACATTGAAAATTACGTATTCGAGTAATTTTATATTTGTAAGGAAAGCCTGTAATACTTAGTTTGCTCTGCGTGTATGTCCCTACTTAGTTGTCTTTTGAGATGAACATTTAAATTCATTGTCATGATATTTTTGTATCTTTGAGAACATTTTTTTATCCAAAATAACACTGAAGTATTGTGTATGTTATCACTATAAATATACTGCAGTGTATCGTTCGCCTTCTAATGAAAATAACACGTTTCTTTTAACTTTGAGTAAACAATTAAAATGCAGTGATAAAGATCCAAGAATGTTGTTAGAGAAACCTGGGATTTATTTTTAAAATATTTGAGATGGTAAACAAAGGTAGCAAATCAGGAAAAAGCCCTCATTTTTGATGTTTCATTTGCTTTGTCAAGCAGATCACTTTTCTTATCTCAGCTGTTAATCTGACTTTTCTTTCCAGACTACTATTTGTGGTTGTACAAGGCCTTGTACAGTGGCCTTTGTATAGCTATTAAGAGAAATAAAGTAAAACCAAAGAAAATTAATTTCCATGCTGTTCCTGCCAAGTTCAAGTTTAAGTGCATTTGGCAACCCTGGAAGAGTCATCCTGAAGGAGGTGCAGATCTGTGCTGCTTCCTTTATATTTACATTTACAAATGATAAGGTGACTCTTCCCAGTTTTGCTACTGGCTTTACTATTATTGCTGAAGATGATTTCTGCTCGAACTTAGTAAATATATCAAGTCTTTATTTTTGGGCTTCTCTAATAGCAGTGGTTACAAACTTCAAACTATGCTCTACATGCAGTCAGGAATTATATCTAGGAATCTTGATCAAATGTTCCACTGTTGCCTAAAAAATAACTTATTGTTTGGCTGACAGTTGTATTGCAAGCCTTGCTTCTGTGATGGGAAGAAAACATTTGGTTTTAACACAGAGTGAAAATCATTTCTTGCCCTACATAAATGGAGGGAATACATAAAATTTTAAGAAAGTTTGTATTCAAAAAACTTACCTCTGTATGTTTTACTGTTAGTATGTAGCAATGGGTAATTTGGTGTCTACTAGTGAATATGTTTTCAAAACCATCTTGATTAAACATTTTATTAATACTTCTGTGCTGAAAGTGTAAGTTCTGTTTAAAAAAAATTGTATGTATTTAAAATATTAATCACTTGAACGGTGTTCAGAGTTGGAAGTTCATTAAGTTAATTTTTCTCATGAAAATGTGTCCCATACATGAGAAACAGGTCTGTGGGTGGTTTCTAACTTGATAAGGATGAACTGACCTAGTTGACTGAGACCTCTTAACATCTCCTAAATTATTTTTCAGTACTTTTATGTTCACTGTTTGCAGATGCAGGGCAAGTGACTTCATGGCATATGGTTAAGGATGAAGCCATAGTACAAGTCCAGTATTTTACTATTTTCACAGTATATAATAGCTACTTCATAGTCCAAAAAGGTGAATAACACTTTAGTTCTTGGTAGTTTTTAAAGACCCTATACAGTTACTTAAATAATGAATGGCTGGGGGTTTTCCCCCCAGCAGCACGTTTTTCCCCTGAAATACTTTAAAACTTAAATGAATCTTTCAAACCCAAACTTTTTGCAATGCAGTCCATTTTCTGACCATGTATTCTGTTTCAATCTCCTTTGCTTATTTCTTTTAATATTATATGTGTTCATTTTGAAGGTCTACACTTAATGTGTTAAAGTTAGAAGTTCTGTCAGACCATAAAATGAATTAAATGGTATGATACAACATAACCAAATGTAGCAGCTACCTAAGATTATGCCCTGGAACTTTGAAATAATTCAAATGTCTTCTATTAAACTGAGACATTCAGATAAGTAGGGATGAGTGCCTTCGCAGAATCTACCTGGTGGGGAACGTACATGCTTCCATGGAAATTTTGATGTTGAAATAATTAAATGTCTTATGATGTTGCTTGGCATGTTTGAGCAGCTTAATGCCTAACTTGTTATACAAGAATAGGTTCCGAGTAAGATATTTACTTGGAGTTTTAATCAGCTTAGAAGGAAATGAAAATACTGTTTCAGAAATTTCCTGATGTTCTGGGCAAGCAGCTTAAAAAAATATAAACTGTTTATCCAAAATATTACAGAATGATGGTCTAATATAAAGTACCGCAACCCAACAAATATTAGAGTTCTGAAATAGTTTTAGGGTGTTTTAATCACACACGTTATGCCACGGATTCCCAGGTTTTGATGTCTAGGTAGTGTCATAACTGCTATGTGATAAAGTGGTTGAGGCTCAGGAATCAGTTTAGACAGAACTCAAACCTTTTCTGCAAATACAGAGTTGCTTGTAATGAGCAGGGCTGCTGAGATACCTGAAAGCAGACCTTGAAAAATAAGCAAGAGAGATCATGATAACAGATACTATTGCTTTAAAATGTTATTTAATTCTTCATGGATAGTCATGTTCTTTTTAATTAGAATAGACTTTCATTTCACTTGTTTCTGTATCACCCAGATTTGGGTCTCAGATTTCTGTTGAAGTTGCATTACATATAATCTGGCATGCTAATGTTTTATTGCTTCTGCAGTAGAAAATGTGCAACTATTCATAGCAACACAAACTTAATCATCATCAGAAATACTCAAGGGGTATGCTTAGGGCTTCAATACCATTTTACATTTAATGTCATTCCTTTTCTTCTGGTTTCTTTCTTTTTGCAGATTGATGCCCGTGCAAAAAAACTCCCAACCAAACTGTTTCCAAAATTTGATTTATTACTTTTAAAAATGTTTAAAGGAACAAAACTCTAATGTAAAAGAGCAAAATATACCAGTAACTACTCTTTTTAACTTTCACTGAGAAGCTATTATGTGGGCTGTGTTACCCCCAAAAATATTGTATCACAAATATTAGAGTTGCAGGGATGAAGAAATGTGGAAGCTAGTATATATTTGGTGTTTTTTAAATTTATACACACAAACTATTTGTTCTTTGTATTCTGTGACTCTCACATTTGGCAGGATGTACAATTTAGAGACCAACAACACAAAATAGAAGCTGTTCTTTCAGAGCTCACGAAGACTGCTTCTCCCTGGGCAGTGTAGATTGTTACAATTGAATGTAATGCAAGTGTTGCAGGTAAATGTGAATATAGGATTCCCTTTGTATGGAAAGCACAGTATCAGTACATATCTTTATTCAGAATATTTATTAAAAGAGCAGGGTCAAATGACAAATACCAACCATGTCCTTTCTTATAAACCTTCATTTATAAATATGTAAAACGGGAAGAGAAACAGACAGGGGTTTTTTTAGAAAGTAAATTATAATAAAGATTCTCTGAACACAGTACTAGTTAATCTGAAAGCTTTGTTATTGATATTATGTGTACCTCCTTTTATGTTAAGCTTTGCCCAAGCAGCTAAAGTCAATAAAACCATCTATGTTCCCCTATCTTTACATAGAGTAAGTAGAGATTTTTCTGGATTTTTTAGCTAAAACTGGGTCCATAACATTAGAAATAATACTGATGTGGGGAAAAGATTCTTACTATAGGAGGAGAAATGTTCACATAGATTTTTTTTTTTTTATTATTTTATATCTGTGTACTTCAGTAAGTTACTTTCCACTATATAAACAAGTGCTTTTCCAGCAAGTCACTCTGCATCTGCTGAAATAACAGGATTACTTTCAATTGTGTTGACAGGGATCCAGGAATAATACTTTCTTGGGTTTTGTTAGTCAGAAAAATAATGTATTGAGTCGCAGAAATCTACTTGTCCAAGATTAATGGGAATCTTCAGGGGGTTTTGAAGTAGTCCTTGAAAATGTGTCACTCTTAAAAATGATAGATTCTCAGAAACTCTCTGCAGAAGAGATCTGTAAATCTTGGCATAATATAATCTGAAAACAGCAAAATATCATGACATTTCAGATTTTTGGGTTTTTTATGTGAGGGTTACTTTACATTTGTTTGCAGCCATTGTATGCATTTGCACCATTTTAACAGGCAGGTACAATGGAGTGGTACATTTGGGAATGTGTTACTTGGGGGCCCAAGAATTCTCTGTAGAAGAGATACTGAAGACATTAAGCATCTAGTGAGTTTGCTATAGGAAATTTTGCTTCATTCATTGCTGTATACATTTTAAGGACCAGACTAATAGGGCATGTTATGAAAAACAAACTAAGCCCAGTAAAACAATAATTAAGACCTGATAAAACCATGTAGTTACTGGCAAAAGTTTAAAGGTTCAGAATTTCAATTTTTTTAAGTAAATTCCACTAAAACTTTAAATGGTATACTGTTCTGTCATACTTAATATCATTCTTATGGCAACAACAAATACTAGTATTCCATTATTTGTTTTAAAAGAAGCATTTCAAAATTTGAACTCTAAAGTTGGAAGACAGCAAAGGAGAGAGAGCTAAAACCTTGCACATAGCCAGTTTACTACTTTAAAATTATTGACTCAGCTGTTTTCATTTGGGAAAGATTTAGGGATTGTTCTAAGCAGTGTAAATCAAAACCTTGGCTAATCATGAATGAATGGAGACTGGTGTCCAAAGCACACAGTGTAGGCTTCAAATGGGTTTTTTGTTGTTGTTTAGATTGTTCTCTTTAATATGTAAAGAAGCACAAAAAGATAGTAAGAGAAAGGGCTCAAGAACTTGGAAAGAATCCATCTTATTTGTCAAGACTGCTCAGACTTTTTTTCCTCCCATAGCTACTAAATCTTCATTTAATTTGCTTTCTGTAACGCTTTGTCTCTTCTTTTATTATCACCCCCTTCATTCTCTCCTTATGTGTCAGACATTTCTGAAGATTTGTTAATACAAATATGTAACTTAAATTCTTTTCCATTGTTCTGGAATATTTACTGCATTTTAATTTCCAAGTCAGCATGAAGAAAGGCAAAAGTAGAAAATTATGTATTAACAACTTTTTTATTGTTTTTATCTGTACTTCTGCCTTATGTTTGCAAACAGATTTCTTGTTTTAACTGTTGACTTGCAACTGCATCCTTTCCCCTCCCTCCTCCCAAAGAAGAACTGTAACAAAACCCTCTATTTTCCACTTAATATAGTGTAGCCTTGTATGTTTAATTTCATGTTTATGAAACGAATCTTTATTTAGAAACAAACTGCTGTTCAATCGAGGTACAATTTACTTCCCCATCATTCCACGAACTGTTAAGGGAAGGGATTAGTGCCTGTTGCAGCAATGTCTTTGGATTTTCAGCTGCACAATTGTTTGTGCTACAAACTTGATTATATACTGAATCAATGTGTGACTCAGGTTTCTTGGTTGGTTGTACAATTTGGGCTATTTCTACTGCTCAGAAGTACCATAAATAAAAATTTAGTTGAAATGATATACAATGATTTCTGCTTACGGATGTGCATTGATTTACTTGGGACTTTTTACAGTGGTTTTATTGAGGTATCCATTTTCTAGTTCTAGTAATGCTAGGTCTATGCTCTGGTGTTGGGTAAAATCCAGCTTCCCTGAAATCGATAGGTTTTGGTGCTTTTGCTTTCTGGTAGAATCAGAATTTCACATTAATACACAAATACACAAATTACATGCTTAGCAAAGATTCTGGTAGTACTTATTTTCTCTAACTTTAGATAACAATCTACAGAAGATTTACAGTTAAACAACTGAAACTTGTTCATCCTTACAACTGGAATGAGTTACTCTTATGCAGAGTCCTTTTTACTTCTTTCCAAGTTTCCAAAGTCCACCAAATGCCACTAAAGTGAGTTTTATATTTTAGTTGTCAAACTTTTCTCAGGCTGAGAGATTTGTTTCTTCACAATTGTGTGTTGAGGGAGATGGGTGTAAAATTCACAAATAGCTTAAAATTAAACTTGCAAGTAAGAGTAACTTTAAAACTTACCAGGAAAAAAAATCATCCAGCTGTTTGCTTCTGTGGTAGATGGAAAATCCAGAGGTCAAGTTGCTTTTTCTTCCTATATTAATCGGTGCTGTGTATTGTTAATCTTCAGTCGGAGTTGAAAACTGCTTTTGTCTTTCTCTGCTAGATCCAAGCTGTATTGAGGAATTGGATTTCTCCATACGATAACCAAGCTAACTAATCATTAAAAAAGGCAAAAAGTAATGTTCCAGTATGTTATTCCAGAAGAGAGGAGGAAGTGTTTTTTGAAACTGCAGTGTTTTACTCTCACATGCAGAAGTGCACTAACTAGCTACAGCTGACCCGGATTCCATATACATCACTTTTGGACAGTTTTTTTTAAACAAACACACACTCAACTTAGACGTTCAGCCCACCTATGATGTCACCACGAACACACTGAGAGCAGAATAAACTCCTCCTTCGGATTTCCTATCCATACCCTCCAGAAAAGGAGGGGGTAGGGAGGCTGAGAAGTTAGGAACAAGGAAAGATTGTTTGCCAGTAGAAGGGAGGGTACCATATGGCAACAGACTGTGCAAGAGTTCAGCAGGCAATTACAAATCAAACATTTTTACTACGCTGCCTAAAGATGCCTTTCAAGTTACTACAGTACTGGGCTTCATTTAGAAGAAAGATTCTTTCAGGCTGATAAAACTCGATTTGTGTTGCTGGGAATAAAAGGGGCAGCCTGGCTGGATACAACAGGAAAAATGAACCATTTATAGTCTAGAAGAATGTTCAACAGAATGTCGCATTCAATTCTTAATGTCCACTTAATAAGAAACAGTTCCAGTTGTTAAATGCATAAAGTCTCAGATACATGTGGAAAATGTTAAAACTGTGTGTGTGATGGTTTTGGGTAGGTATCAGAATATTTGATAACATCTGACTGGTGTTAGAAGTAGCAAAAGCCACAGAGATTATGCTCTGTGAGGAATGCAGAATACTGTTTTTAGTTCTGTCAATCGTCAGCCAGCACTTAAAGTGCATTCAGTTTGTTTTCATTGATCTTTTTTGTTTCTTCACAAAGGACATGCCAATTACATTTGAAAGAGAATTACCCTAGTATGCTTTCAAAATTATTTTGGACTTCATAGAAATGGACTGAGTAAGTTTAGAAAAAAAAAAAAAAAAAAATATCACTCCTTAATTGAACAAGTCATTCAGAAAGATAATACTACAAATACATTGGTTTATAAAATCCTGCATAATATTTCAGGTGCCTGTTCATAGTGAGTTTCCTTTATTATAATTAGTAAGCATGATTTACTTCTTTCTGTGGAGACTGAGCAAGTTTGGGATTTTTAAGGCTTGTTTGGACATAGCTAATCTAGGTTCGGGACAGTTTATGCAGTCTAGATAGCACAGTCACATTTAATTACTATCTGATGCTTCCAGTTATTCTTTCTGGTTTTTAATAAACTGATTCTAGCAGAATAGAAAATTTAGAAATTTAGTAGTATATCAGGTCATGTGTAATACCTTCTTATTCACTTTTTTATATGTCACCTTTCAACCACAAGTATTTTAATTTGTTTCTGTGTGTGTGCACACACGCGCGTGTATGTGTTGATTTTGGAGTGATGCCCAGAGTTTCCCAACTTGCATTTGAGGACTGTACAGGTTAGGTGCTATACAAACACAACTGCTGTTCTTGTGAGTTTGTATTAATAGTCTTCCACCTGTAAAGCCAAACTTCTTGTTATGATTTTGGTTATACAAGGCTGAGAGGTGAAGCAAAATATAATTTTAGAAATTCCCTGTTACTGAAATAAGTTTCTTAAAAATATTATTTAAGTGTGTATATTTTTTTATTTGGATATCTTGTGGAAAATGCAGGGGATGAAGAGCAATTCCTTTTTAATAGCAGAGTTGCTCAGGATATGTTTAATTTAGTCAAGACAAAAATTATTAGTCTTTGGGTGAAGTTCAAGAAATTGAGTTCCATTTAGAATTAAAATAAGCTGTTTATCTACAGCATTAGTATTTGAAGAGGAGGATTTTCCTCTTTACACGATCAAGAGATTGAAAAGAGCAGTCAGGTTACAGTGGTGGTGGGGAAGAAAGCAGGTAGAAGACTTGAAGAGACTTACCTATACAGCTGTTGGGTCATTGGAGTTGTGATTAGTATGAACTGCAGGATTTGTACCACATTTCTGAGTGCACTTTTTGCCTAGTTTACTTTTCCCAAGTTGAGTTTGAGTTTCTATTTGGCCTGAAGAGTTGCAGATGATATGACTTTTCATTCTGCTGGTTTTTTAATTGCTGAATGGGAGGAATGAAGTAGTAGACTTCCTAAAATCATTAGTAATTTTGATCATGTATTTTAGCTTTGTGTGTTTAGTATGCTTCATGTTTGTCAAGGAAATAATTAATTGGTGATATGTCAGATTAGGTTCATGAGTAGTTGTGCATGTCCTTGTAAAAAGTTTTACATTTAGAAATAATTACACTGTTAAAGACAGTCAGCTAGTACATGCCTGGAGTGATGCAGGAGGAAAGGATCCTCTGCTTGCCACTGTTACTTGTTGTACAGAGAATGAAAGCTTATTGAGGCTCATACCCTCAGTGTCTGCACAGCATATTGAAAACTCATACCCTCATTGTCTGCAAATACAGCTGAGATAACATTGACAAAACTAAGGATTAAGTGATTGAGAAGAGTGCAAATTCAATCCTAGACAAGGGTGGCACAGTAATGTACTTTCCTGTAAGTCCAAGCGTTATAGCTGTTTTACTCTGAGTTCTGAAGGCTCTCGGATCTTGCCAATATGATTTGTCATGTAAATCCAAAATAGTGTTCTGAGGTAATGCTGATGCATGTTAGTTGATGAAAGCGGAAATTCTTCGAACTGCTTTTTTTTTTTTTTTTTTTTTTTTCCTGGTTAAATGTGAGATACTAAATAAAGAAACTTTTCATTCTAATCTTATTCAGGTATTTATCTGTCAGACTTGACATATATTGACTCTGCCTACCCATCAACAGGGAGCATTCTGGAAAGCGAGCAAAGAACAAATTTAATGAACAACATTCTTCGAATTATCTCAGATTTACAGCAGTCATGTGAATATGGTAAGCTAGTGTGTAAATATTGCAGTATTAAAGAGAACAACTTCAAAGATCTTTAATATTGGTCTGCTGTAATGTAGTGGCCCAACCCATTTGAATGCCATTAATGCTTTCCCTCAACCTCTCAGCCCAAAAGATGCTAAATTTAATAATTCAGTAAGTTTACTGTGGTATTGTTGGTTATGACAGCATCAGCATGAGGAGACAGTATAAAATGCCCTTTTATTACATTTTTACAGTAGATACTTTCTCATGAAAAATGAGGAAAACCTTGTACTTAACAGTGGTTTTACTAGTATGTTATAAGCTTGTATCCCTGTGTTTCATAATTTTATGACTGAATTCTAAAAATAGTAGGATTGCTTCTGGAGTAGTACTTTTACTAGAGATAATAAAATATGTTCAGCTTGTCTTTGGGACATTTATAGTTCTGTTCATAGGTCAGATAATGTATTTTTTCTTCAAAGGTGGTCTCCCTCACAGTCCTGTCCAAGTTCTAATGAAATCATAAGACTGCATTTGTGATGGTGGATTGTGTTAGCACAGGACTGTGGCTTCACTGAAAGCTCAATATAATGAGAACGTGGGCTGTGAAGGAGTCCTCAGATACAACCTTCTGGCTTTGGGCCTTCAGTTTGGCCAGGGGTGGGCTCTCAATTTCATTAGATGTGTTCTGATAAGCAGAGCAGCTCTAGGGGGCTACATACCCGCCTTTATGAATGTGGGGAATGTCAGCTCAACACATGACAAGTGCTACAAAGGACAGTAATTTCAACATCAGTAGGGACTGTAGTTTGTACCTCCATCTTACATAAAAAGGCAAGAGATCTGATTCTGTTGAAAAAGTTTCTGGAAGATAACTTTGTTTACCAATGAATGGTACAGTGATAATGATTGTCATCTGTTCTCCAGATATTCCTCTGTTGCCTCATGTCCAGAAGTATCTAAACTCAGTTCAGTACATAGAAGAACTACAAAAGTTTGTAGAAGATGACAATTACAAGTAAGTATGAAACATTGTAACCAACTAACTCATTACAAAAAAATTTTTACAACACAAAGCCTGTCACTTTTAAGAGGGCACTGGTATTGGGGGATTATGTGTCTCAGATGCACCAGTTGCAAGTAGTGAGGTTACAGTAGAGTCCTGTGTTCAAGACAATTTTCAGCATGCTGGATGGCCTGTCTCCTTCCTTTTGTATGCCTGACTGCATCAAGCCCTAGCTTTCATGACTGTTTGGTCTGTTGATTTATCTGCTGACCTCTTTAATTGTTTGCTAATGAAGACTCTGTACTTCTGGCTCACATGTAACACTGTTCAGTCAGTAAGATGGATCCCATGATTGGAGATAGCTTATGTCACTTTTCATCAGAACGAAGTCCAGAGATCTTACTGAGGGTGACTTAAGGCTTTCACATTCATTTATATTTCATTTTCATTTTGTATTTTACTCTTTGATTTGGTTTTACAGTGTGAGTAAAATGTAAACACTTGATTTTTTGAGAGGCAAGATTGTCGATCTGTGTCTGCACCTATTCCTCCCAGCATGCCACCCAAAACAGAGGTTTCTACTTTCCTTAATTAAAAGGTTATTACTGTATTAAGTGATTTGGCACCCAGAAAAACTGGGGGATGGAAATCTCTGGCAAGAGGCAGGAACTAGCCGTGAGGATAGAAAAAACTTCAAGCAAATCCATAGCATATGAAAACAGTTTTTGTTCATTGCCTGATCTGGTTGGGGAGGTTCCCGACCCATTGCCATCCTGCCTGCCCAGGCAGTTTGTCACTTTGGTTGTGCTGAATTGGCTGCTCGTGTAGCTACATTTGAATGGTGGGAGGGGTATGCACACTAAAGGAACAGATATGCTTTACCATTTCATAGCCCTAACTTGGATTTACTAAAAGGCAGCAAATGGGGATCCTTCAGTTTATATCAAAGAACAGTTAATGTGGGCTTGACACTTGGCTTCGCCTCTGAGGTTTGTAAATTGTTCTCTGCATGTTTGCATGCAAGCATCCAACTTTACCTTTTTGCTGAAATGTCCTATAGCCTGATTTTTGAAAGTATTGCTTGCTTATCACTGAGAGTATCACTGAAGTCAAACATTTGAAAGGGGAAAAAAAAAAAAACAAAACCGAAACCCACAAACCCATATTTGCAGTCTGCTACTTAGTGGCATATTGTTTTCACAAATTCCACACTCCACTTTCCTCCACCTTCACTTGGTAGGACTCCCTACTAGTGGGAATTTTACTGCTTAAGGAGCTGCAGTCTCTTCATCCCATACAACCTATGTCTTGATAGCAGGGAAATGGAGAAAATTGCATGTAGTGTCGAAATGTAGCTGCTATTCAGAAAATCTGGTTTTATACCTATGGGTTTTGTACGTCTCCAAACTGATTTTTTTTTTTTTTTTTTTTTTTTTTTTATGGGGGAGAGTGTTCTGAAAAACTATTCTCACTGTAACTATTATACTTTTATCCCCTAAGGTGTCTGCAAAAAGGCTGAAGTTAGAGAACAGCTGTGGTGACTTGAATACATTTTTTCTTCCTAAAGGATTTTATTTTATTTTTTTAAATTAAGTTTTAAAATTGTAATGAATCATTGCTAAACTGTCTGGGGGTGGGAGGAAGAGAAGCTGTCGAACTTCAAACTTTTCCTCCTCAAAATTAAGTAGATGCTTTTCCAACCTTGCAAACTTCAAAGATTCTAGTTCTGTAAACTGTGTGGACAAGATAGGCTTGATCTTTCTGGAGTTCTCTGCTCCTGGAGTCTACACAATTTGTGGTACTGTTGGAAATGACATTAAAAAGTGCCTGTTGTGAAAAAAACTTGAATTATGGATGCAGTCAAGTTGATAATGTATTTTCCAAAATGTAAAAGAAGGATTTTGGCTGTTAGATCAGTCAAGTCAAAAGGCTTGGCCCACTACACTAGTGCACTTTATAGAAAAATTGAAAATATTAAGTGTAGTAGCTATAAATATTTTAGCCAGGGTAGGGAGAACAGTTGTATACTTTCTATTGTTTCCAGGTTTTGTACTAGAGTAGTGGTATCATCACTGAGTTTCATGTATCTGCTAGGACTCCCAGGGCCACGTAGGTCCTGGTTTATGTGTGACTATGGTTTCCTTGGAGTGTGGTGCCAATGCAGAGCAGTGGCCTCTTCCTCTGCACCTTCCCCAATGTGACTTTGACACACTTGCTAACAGCCGCTCATATGGGGCTTTTGCTCTCAGAAGATGAAGATGGCAACTGGTGGCTGTTTGGCTTTGTGTGGCTGGTGCTGCCAGCTGCCTTGGGCTCCTGATGCAGGAGAGTTTGCAGTGCTGTGCTGTAGCCAGGGTTTCGCTGTTGAGTCTTGTCAACATGGCATCACAAACCTGTCCTGTATGAACCAAAGCACAGACTCATCGACTATATTATGCTCTAGCATGACATTTTTTGATTCCTATATTTCTATCCCCTGTTGCAGTAGTAGGGTTTTTTTCTAACACACACATTCCCACCTCCCCCACCCCCCCAAAAAAAAAAAAGTTTGGAAATAGTATATGCTAAAAACAACTATGCACAGTTTGTATTAACTCTGTAGTGTTCCTTGCAATTATAGAAACAGGCAGTTTTCAATTGTAATTTTTTTTTAAATTAATTTTTCAAAAACTTTTATATGCTTCTATTTTCTGATAATTTTTCATGCTTCTTTAATGCAGACTTTCATTAAAGATAGAACCAGGGACCAGCACCCCCCACTCTGCTGCTTCCAGAGAAGATTTAGTAGGTAAATGCTTAATAAATATGAGATGACTTGAGGTTGTCAAATGCATTATTTTTGAGTTGCGGAGATGGAAAATATTTGCCTGAGGCTAATAAAGAAGTGTGAAGTATAAACACTGTATATTTGTAATAAAAAGTCTAAAGGTGATCTGTAAAGAAATTCAAGGAATTGAGTCAGTTTTTTAGGTTCTTATATGTATTGTGGCACTAACTTGCTAGTGTCATTTAGGGTGAAGAGCTACTAAGTATTCAATTCTTTGTTGTGTCTAGACAGAAGGACCTTCATCTAAACTTCATAGTATAATATGCTTCCAAAAATGTATATTTTTTTTGATCAGTGCCAAAAGTGGTTGAAGGCAGGAGTTTAAAAATGGAAGATCAGTGGTACCTGTTGAATGCCAATGTAGCTAATGCAGCAACCTTTAGGACTTGCAAAATGCTTGTAAATAGGTGGTCTATTTGAAATAAGTGTATTTATTTTTAATCCTGTGCAGAAAACCAAAAGTAAAGGGTTTTTAATTATCAGTACAAATGTACCAATGAGTTTTATTGCAGGCTATCACTTATAAATTGAGTTTATGAAGTTTTGTGCAAGACTGTCACAGTTTTCTGAGAAGTAGCCCTGACAGTAAATCTGTCTAATCGGGAGTAATGTCTTTTTTGTTCCCAGGCTCTGAAGTTGGAGCGTCTCCCCAAAGTGGACGGAAAAATGTTGCAGCTGAAGGAGCCTTGCTACCACCAACACCCCCTTCGCCTAGGAACCTGATACCACACGGACACAGGAAATGTCACAGTTTGGGATACAAGTCAGCATTTTATTTATCTTGAAAAGCCTAAGCTTTGTGAAGTATCATCTTGCAATACAAATACTTTCCTTTTAAATGTAGCATGATTTGTACACAGTGCTTACAGACCAATTCGGGGCAAAAGAGCAAGCTCAGAACTAAAATGGTAGTATCCCAACCAAAAAGAATTAGTCAAAATAGGAGGACTGTGCAGCTGTTACAACGATAAGAATAGCCAATGAGTTAACCAAAATACGTTCTTTCTGAATGACAAAACTGTCGCTTAGAGCAACTCAATGCCAGGGTAATTCTTAAAGCAATTACTTCAGTTTGAATTTTAATTGGTATTTTTAGAGACACCTCCTTTGTAGACTTTCATATAACTTTGTATAATAATGACTTCAGGTTTTTTCTGTGTAGGTGTACTTTGAATTAGTGTCTTGATCACTGTATCATCAATTCCCTTGTCATCTTTTCAAAATGCAAGATTGTAGCTATTCAGTAATTCATCTCTTAACATCCATTGTGTAAGTTTAATGAGCTAGAATGCAATTCTAAAGTTCAATTATGTAAGTGTTATAGTAAGACAAGAATACCTTAGGATATTGAAAGTAATTTTTAAAGTACTCTTGACTTTGCTGCAGGAGTGTTGTACAGTTTTAAGACTGGCAGTTCCTGTAGATAATAGAGTTTGTGAACAATTGCATACAACTTGAGTTATGATTTAGTTTGGTGTTTGGAACACACAGCATGCAATCCTTCAGGATGTTAAAGCAACTACTTTTGAAATGTATCAAAGATAATGTTGTAACAGTTTTATCCCTGTTCATTTCTAGTTTCATACACAAAATGAATACAGCTGAATTTAAAAGTGCAACATTCCCCAACGCAGGACCAAGGCACCTACTGGATGACAGTGTCATGGAGCCTCATGTCCCATCCCGAGGGCAAGCAGAAAGCTCCACCCTTTCTAGTGGAATTTCAATAGGTAGGAACTGTCAACATAGTCATGCAGTACATGATCTTTTAATACAGATTTTAGCATGATTAGTTGGTGATTGTACAAGCAGTGATACTATTCTAAAAAAAACAATTCTGTTTCGGAACAAGTTTAGAAATGTAGGTGGAGAAGGGCAGCAGACTTTTGTCAAGAGTAGATAGTAATTAAACTTTCGGATACTTCATTTTTGTAAGTTATTTATCTTCAGTTATTTAGGATATTCTTTTGAGAACAACTGTTTTCTGACTTTCTTATATGACGGCAGTTGCTCTTTTTTCCTGTTACACACAGATCCTTAAAGTGGAGGCAGGGCAGGGCAAGTGCCTCTTGGATCCACCTAACTGCATCCATTGAGAAATGGAACCTCTATCACAGTCCTTCTTCTCAAAATTACTTGCTTGATAGAATTCAATGGTATTCAGGTTTTAGGCATTTATGGTAAAGATTTTTGTAGTGTTATGCATTGCTTTGGATAACTTCATTTTAAAAAACAGTTTTGTTTTTAGCCTTCATGGAGAGAAACAAGGTCACACAGTTTAAAATTATGCTGGTTTTAGGAGCTGTTTATATATTTTCTTGAGAGCCATATTCTGAGCAAACATTAAATATATTTTTTTATGTGGAAAAAAATCAAGTATCTAGAGGCAATAATTTAAAAAAAAATACATTAATAACTAATTTTGTGGAACTATCTTAGACCAAATTAGTTTGAACATGTTCACGCCAGACAGCTTCCACTATTAAATGTGCATTGCCTGTCTGTTTTCTACAGGTTCTCTGCTGTGGCAAAGTTTGCCATTTCACAGTCATCCAGCAGGAATGATACTTCTCATCAGCATACAAACAGCTTGCATTCTCAGGGACTGCACAGTACAGGAGAACCAAACTTTTGTCATCATTTTTGAGATGTAGCATTGCCCTTTTCTCTCAGTGCAGTTTTTTTTACTGATGCTTTCTATCTAAATCTCTAAAACTTCTCTGCAATTGATCCTTTTTTTCTAGAGTACATTATTTATTTACCTTCATTAGAGCCTTGCAAGGAAGATTTGCCAGAGCTGATAATCAGTTTTTTCATGAGATACAATAAAGAACCAGTCAGCATCTAGACATTTTGGAGAACACAGGGTTTTCCTACTTTGTCTTATCCTTGAATTTTTCAACTCTGTTTTCTTGCTTAGCTCAGGCATGGCCTTACTGTCTTGATGTAGTCACCCTTACCAGTTGCAACAACATTTGCACTTTAGAAGACTTTTATAAATCATTTGTAAAACAGCAACATTGCACATTTCATGTAAGATCAGCATTTGTGTTTAGAACTTCCCCTCTCCTGTTCTCTTCCACCTCCATCCTCCCCATATGGCAATACTTTAGTCTTTATCACTGTTTTGACAGTCTAGCATTGTTATTTCTGCTATGTCTTGATTATGAAAATTTAGATGGCACAAAAGATTTGTAGAGGTGTTAGAAATGCGTATGGAGGAAGGAAGTAAGTTCTGGAGACTTGAAGTATCTGTTACTGAAGAATTCTTGGAAATATAAGTTGTCTGGCATTCTGTACTGCTACCTCAGCAGGATTTAAGGAAGTTGATTGAAGCTGCTAAGCTCCTCCATCATGTTTGAAGTAGTCTGTTTACTCAGTACTTGGAAATAGTACAGTCACTGCAGCAGAGAGGAGGTTTACAGTATTCTACAACACAACTTCAAAAGATAGTCAAGGAAACTTCTTCTGAATGTGTGTACTGAAAAGAGTGTTATTCCTCACCTTGCCCATAAATGTGGATTTAAACCTGTCGCTCTAAACACAGGACTACCTTTTCTTAGATATAAGCCTATATAGGACTTAACTTTTTGGATAAATGATCCCTCTTCAAAATATGGACAGTGTTTCTGACATGCCAGCACCTTGAATGTGACCTTAGAGTACTTTAAATCACTTGTGTTTTGAGGGCTCAGAGGTGTTCAGACATTTCCAGTCTTTTCATATTGAAGGATCTGATATAATCTGTCTATATCAAATATCAAAAAAGCAGCAGTGTAACAGCAGTGTCTATAGGATGCTTGTATGCAGCACTGTACCATTACAGTGCTTTATCTAATTTAAGAGTATGTGTGTTTATGCTTTTTTTATCAAGCCCCCTGTCTGAGTTGCCTTTGCTGTTAACAGATTACTGTAATCTATTTACAATTCGCTAAAGCCATTTATAGGCATGTTACAAAGATTCATCACAGAACTGTTTCTTTTTCTAGTGGTGAACACACCAACTACTTCATATACATTAGGACTCTTCCACTTGGATTTCTTCAGTTATCCCTGTGATAGAAGCTTTCAATATCTGATAGAGATCAGTTAGACCATCACTAGGTTTGAGATTCACAAAACTCTGTTCTGCATATAAGCATACTAAAACTGAGCAGTTAATCTGCAATATCTGTATCTCTAAACTAAAAGCACATGTTCAAGTGATGATGGGTAATTTTGCTTGTGTTTTGCTGGAAGAGACTGATTCATTCTGGGAAATGGTGCATTGCATACAATAATTTTTACATCAGTGTAATTAATCTTTCAGGTACAAAGGATACTCTGATTATTTTTCTTTGCAATGAATGATTCCTAAAATAGCAGCAATGCAGAAAGTGACTGAGGTCTGGGATTTCCTGAAAATAGGCCTATCTGTAACATGACAGCCATGGACAGATTTGACAATACCGAACTGAGTAGGGAAGCGGACACTCTGGAAGTGAGAGCCACCCTGCAGGAAGACCTGGATAGGCTGGAAGAGTGGGATAGCAAGAACCTTATGAAGTTCAGCAAAGACAAGTGTAAGGTCTTGGACCTGAGAAAACATAACCCAGGAGTGCAGCAGAGGCTGGGATCTACCCGGCTGAGGAGTAGCTCTGTGGAAAGGGACAACCAGCTCAACACAAGTGAACAGTGTGGGGCTGCGGCAAAGGAAGCCAACAGGGTGCTGGGGCTGCATCAGCAAGGGCATCGCCATCAGAGAGAAAGAAGTGGTTATCCCACTCTCTACTCAGCGCATGTCAGGCCACACCTGGAATACTGTTCTCAGTTTTGGCCCCTGCTGTAGAAAAAAGATGTGGACAGGCTGGAGAGGGTCCAGAGAAGGGCCACAAAGATGATCAAGGGACTGGGCAGCCTGCTGTGAGAGGACAGGCTGAGAGAACTGTGTTGGTTCAGCCTTGAGAAGAGAAGGCTTAGGGAAGACCTTACCCCCATGTTCCAGCATTTAAAGGGTGGCTACAGTGACAATGGAGACTCCATTTTTACAAGGAGTCACATGGAAAAGATGAGGAGTAATGGGTACAAGTTACTCCTGGGGAGATCTGATTGGACCCAAGTGGAAAATTTTTCACAGTGAGAACAATCAGCCACTGGAATAATCTCCCCAGGGAAGTAGGTGGTGGATTCCCCACTGGACACTTAAGATTCAGCTGGACAGGGTGCTGGGCCATCTTGTCTAGACTGTGCTTTTGTCAGGAAAGGTTGGTCCAGATGATCCTTGAGGTCACTTCCAGCCTGGTATTCTATCATTGATTTATCAGCTTCTTTTCTTAATTTCAGGGTCTGGAAGCTGATATTTGTACATTCAACTCATTCTGCAAAAGCCTAGAACTCAAAAACCAAAAAAGATATAGCCCCCATTATAGTAATTTCTTGTGCTTGGGTCAAAACAGTTCTTGTTCCTAGAACTATGAGACTGTGTTCAGCAGACAGTCCTATATTATGCTAGAGTAAGGGAGGTGTACATCTGCTTCTGTTGCTGATTTACTTTATAAGTGCTCATTATCTGCACAAAAGTGAGAAATCTTTTTTTCATCAGTGCCAAGGCTATCCTAATTAGAAGGAAGAAACACTTGATGAGTTGTATATACAATATCAGATGGGAAATCTTCTCTTGAATTCAGGAATGTAACAAGGAAATAGTTTCTTCTAAGTTTTAAACATTCATTATTCAGACAGCTACATTTGAGTGTCATTTGGAGTTCTTTATAATCACATAGAGAATTAAGATCTTCAAGGACACAATTCATCTCATTCTTAGGTGGGTGGCTAAAAAGAGGTTATATGACTTGTGTCCTTAAAAGTCCACTTCTGATGACTACAAAGAGACTTTTGACAGATGAGACATGAAAATAGACAGATGAATACTGCTGAAAATAGTGTCTGGTTTGTGCAGACAATCCAGGAGATCTGCTTTATTAGTAAATTGGGACAGATGCTTTTCCTTTGCAGTGAGTGTTCATTGAGAACCCCCACTGCTTGCTATTAGTAAGTTTCAAAGCTACAAGATAGTTTTATTCTGTGATCCCACATTTTTGATGAGGTCACTGTATATTCTTTCAAAAGAGTGAGCTTGCCCTTCTGAGGTCTCAGCATTGCTCTTGACTGGGTTGAAGGAACCACCGGCACACTCTTACCAGCTGTTCTCCTACATGTATTTGCCTGCTGTCACCTCCTCACCTAAAGTAGGATAAATAAAGATACTTTTACAAGATTGTGGTTCCACTCAGAAATAGCATGCAACTTCCTTTCAATCATATTTTTCTTAAGAAACATGGTTTTCTAATAATTGTTGATTTTAAGCTTTTTTTTTTTTTTGCTTAAGCTACTCATAAGTATTGCAGCAATGTTCAGCTTGCTTCATTAATGTTCTCAGAAGTTTTGGATTTCCACTGTTTCTTATGAAATGCTTAGCTGCATTACTGAACATCTTTTCTGAAACTGAATTTGTCTACAATGGCTAATTGTCTAAATAATTCTGTAGAGGTAAAGTGATGGTGTAAAATAGACTCCTTTTCATATATTGCTTCTCTGTGGCTTTTCTCCTCCTACAGCACCTAACATATGTTGACACAAAGTAATTTTGCTTAGGAGGTTTTCTTTTAAGGGTGCAGTCTCACATGTATACCACATAAGAGTAGATGTTGAGGTATGAACACAGAAATACTCAGCTGAAATAAACTGAGAA